CTTCAGGGGTTTGATCCACATAGGATGTCAGAGGAGGCTGTGGCTTCATGTTTATGAGAGAGAAACTTGTGGGGTAAGAAGCCCTTTCAACTGAGCAGTCAGATAAAACATAATTTCATGCTGGAAAGTGAACCTAGACAAACATCAACCAGAAATATTATTTTTTTTTTAAGCACTGAGAGTAATCAGCATTGGAATAAGTTGAAGTTTGCAACAGATTCTGCACCAAAAAAAGCCTTCACTAGATGTATTTTCAAAAAGCTGCAGCCTTGTTCATACACAGTTTAATTAATTTTGGGGAAGGACTGAAAAATGAATGGCCTTATGAATGTCTGAATTGTAGATTGCTGGTCTCTGTTCTATCCATATATCTAAAAAACCTGGCTCTATACAATGCTTCTTTTAATCTATGTGTCAGATGCTCACAGATGTTTAAAGACCCAGATAAGTTCAGAAAGTGTTGAATTTCTTGATACGGTGACCCTTCATTTTATTATCCAGTACACAAAGCTACTGAAACAAGCATTCTCAGTTTTCCAAAATTGTCCCATTCCTACTGCTATTCAGCACCACGTTTTAGCATTGCTGTATAAAGCGTATTAGCCCCCGGTTAGATTTTCTCTGACACTGCAATCATTTCTGCAGCACAAATTCACAATGAGACAAACATTTCTATGATTCTGAGAGTATCACCACATTAGACCATGACTATGTCCCATCACACCAGTTCTGGGCTCATATTACTAATACCCACCAGTGATAAGACATCATCCTCCCAATATGGGAGGATCAGCAGTGTGTTTTCAGATATGCCAGGCCATCTTTATGATGGGAACATCACCACTGGAGTGGCTTGATTGGCAGCGTGCTTCCAGGCTCATAAAAGCATCCCAAAGAGGCTACCCATTTCCTTCTGGAAATTGGCAGCTACAGAATTAGACTGATCCCCAGACTGCTGTGTGGCAGTCAGCGAGCCCAGTCTCAGCATCAGTTAGCCCATCCGCTTTCACACAGCTGCTTTCTGGTGCACACACAGCAGCAGCAGCGATTCCCAGAGGCATGCATGGACCAAGTATGCCATATTTTCAAGTTTATGCCAAGGATCAGAAATTCACAGAAAAAGCAGGTGGTATTTAACCAAAACACGCTGCTTTAACATGCCAAAAAGCTTATATGTAATAAGGCAAATTTATCCCTAGTATAGCTCCCCTGATCAGACCTTTTAGTTATACCAGAGATGTGTTTGGCCCAGTACTTGGAAATGAGACACTGCCTGCAGCAGACTGGTATTACACACCAATTACAGTTCACATCACCATAGGATATACTTTTGTTTATATTCCTTCCATTCCATGAAAGGAAATGGAGCTCAGTCAGTTAAACTAAAAACTGAAGATAAGAGAAATCTTGAATAGATATAAAATTCATTGGAAGTGAGAGTATAACCTGGTACAGAATGCAGTACGTGTCCTTTAGAATAATGGGTTTACACCAAATGACTTCACTGGAGAGCGATGTCTGCCCATCTCCAATTCATCTTAACCTGCCACTTAGCACACAAAAAATTACTAGCTTATAGTTTATCAAATAAACGATGTCTTAACTTCGTTCCATCTTTTGTCCTTGCCCTACATTTCTACTATTTGTAAGTTCCAGATTCAGAAGCAACATCGATAGTTTTAAGCAAAGGATAAATTTTTGTTTATACACACTCCCACCTGAAAAAGAAACGGAAATTTAATTTGAGGTTTCAAGGATCTTTGACATGTGCTTATAGAACAGTTCCTAATTCTGTGAAGACCTGAACCAGATACTTAACAGTAACCATAGCAATAGCCCCAATGTCTTTGGGGATTAGACATACTTTCTGACCTGGTATACAAAGAGAAACAGGACTGCACTTGGAATGGACCCTACGCCAGCTGACAGGAAAACAGAAGGCAGGTCAGTCCTGAGGAGTATTCTTCACCTGTCTATTCTGCAAGGGTAGTATGGACTGCTCTTCTGGATCTCAAGTTCTTCCTTCCAAAGTCTGAATGCTCTCCATTTCTAGTAAATTAAAAGAGAGATGGTCAAATGGTTACCCTGCAAAGATACCTGGTGCACTTCCTTTAATACAAAATACTAAATTTAATCCAAATGTATTATATGTGCAAAATAATACCATTAACTTTTTAGTAGTTTATGTTTACTACTAATCTTTTTTTCTTTTATAAATACGAACATAAAAGCAAGAGAATGTCTCTGACTTTGGCTTAGACCCCTCTCCAATTCAAACATTTTACACAGAGCACTTGCTTCCAATAGTCAAAATACTTCATCACATCATCAAGCTTCTCTGTGCAGATGTAGCTGGTAACACAGGTATCTTCATGCTTCTATACTCACCACTTGTGATTTCATGCATTCTTCATGCATTGAAGACATACACGTAAGGACCAAATCCATTTCTGAACCTACTGAAATTAAAGTTCTGCAGACTGAAAACTTCTCTCTTATAATATCACCTTTGCAAACAGACATAAAAACAGTCTGTCTTATCAGTTTTCCATGTCCAGGCCCATAAACTGCCCTACAGATTACTCAAGAACAGAAATTAATGGCAGTTGACATAAGTACTCCTTGCCTTCTCACCTGTGCTAGATCACAACAAGAACTTTGACCATCTTGAATACTCTGACTCAAGTTCTTCAAGGCTCAGAGTATTCCAACACTGAGAAGTTAGAAGGTTTTGGCACACCCCAATGCTACACCACCAAAAAGAAACTTGTGCAAACAAAATATAATTTGAATCTCAGTGAGACAGAAAAAACAAGACTAAGCCCAGTGAGACAGGAAAAACTACTGAACCAGATCTTCCTTTGGCTTGAGTCTACACTACAGAAATCCTGCCCTGTTTCACTATTCAAATTTCACTTTCACACAAAGAACTATCCCCATCTGAAGTAACTTCTAAAATTAAGAGGAAAGCATAAGAGATTAGAGTAATGAGAGTCCACTGTAATAATCTATTCTGACCTTCTGCACATACAATACAATTTTTCTAAATTAATTCCAATTAAAGATAGAAACAACCTTTAAGTCAAGATTAGGGGTTTTTTGTCTCCTGTGATGGAGATCGTATCATTTGCTTAATTACAAGGCACTTTTAATGGCAGTCATTTCTAAAGAATGTATAGGTTCTACTAAAACAAATATATATCTCTGGACACAGTGTGTGAGCATCTGTGGCACACAGCATTCAGCAGAGCGGATCACAGCCTGCACACATCTACTCTTTCACTTGGAAACGGTCTCTAAATTACCACAGCAGATAAGCTACAGGCAAGTTGAAACCACCTCTCTGAAAGTACTGGCCCAAGTTCTGACACTCCAAGTCACAGAGCTTCTGAACTTCCCCAAAGTTCGAAATAGCTTCAATCACACCTCCCAATTGTATCACAAGTACCAAGATAGAAATTCAGGTTCAAAGCTTAAGGGATTAATCCAGTATCTGGTTCTCTTCCTCCATGGAAAAATGCTTTTTACTTAGAAAATACACTGTTCTCTCCCAAGTGATCAAAACAACAGCCAGTTGCATCTGTTAGACTCTTAATGGAACAAAATGAGAATATGCAGGCAGTTAGACATACTCAAAAAACATGGCTTCCTAACCAGAAAAGTGAAAGAGCTCAGCTGCAGATTTCTAGCTAAGAACCATTACCATCACGTGAAACGACAGAATTTTTTCCCTTTCTGAAACCTTATTGCAAGCTTATGGCAAGACAGATGTCTGGAATCCCTAACTACTGTTAGTTTAAGCATAATTGTATTTGCTACAGTTTCAGTAACCATGTAACCAAGTGCTTACAAATCTATTTTAATGATGTTTTCAAGGATAATAATACTCTGCATTACAAAAGAAAGAGGTAAAAGGTACAACTTTTACATACAAGAAAAAACTTATAGCGAAGGCAAAGAATATCTTAAAACCAAAATAAAGCTATGTTGTTCCCTACAGGGAAGCTTCAGGTGTTTGAGATTAGTCACTCAATTCACTTTCAGAATTCGTAGAAAAAGATGAAGATGGACAGTCAAAATACTCTACCAAGTCAGCTTTAAATATTCCACTGACTGCCAACAATTTAGCAATAAAATTACAAATATACAGAAAACAGATCTGCTACTGTACTGAAGCTACACACACAACCAATAGCAAAAATACATAACAAAATATGCAGAAATTAAGTGTTTTCCATTCATAAATGCAGAAGTACTCCCACATTCCACTCTGTCCTGAAATGATCATTCAACACGGTGACCAAAAAGGAAGACAACTGTCATTATACTTCATAGAGCAGGCAGAAGACAAACCTACACATTACTCACAAATTTGGACTAAGCCTAATTCTACAAACTGTTTGCTGTAGAATCATAGTTTATACATGGAAACATGTAAAATTAACAATTAAGTACAAGACGGAGCAAAAACAGTGGTGCTAATGAAGGGTCCCGTTCCAAGACTGCTGCTTGTTGGGCAGCACGGGTCCTAGTTCAGCAGTCTAATCCCAAGGACGTTACCAATAACAGAAAGCAATAGTCTTAGTAGAATTTGCACAAAAGGCCAAAAGTGATCACTAAAAATGTTTTTCCAAACAGTAGGATAGGACATCAGGAAAACAGAATACTATTGCATTCATTGCAATGTTAGGCTTTCGAGCACAGATGTGCTCGACTTAAAAATGACATACATTACAAATACAAAATGCTACAAATATGCATGCAAATAGTCCCCAGACTACCTCACTTTATAATTTCTAAATCAAATACATACATAAGGATGGAGTATGGTTTCTATTTACATAAGCTTTGACAGGAAAGGGCACATTAAATCATGAGTGAATCACTAGCATAAAATTGCATTTCTAAATAATTTAAACCCTCAAAACAGTATGTCTTACTAAAAATCCTTCATTTCAATGAAATAGTTTGTAAACACTGAAGATGTACATTTATACAATCTACAGTCTCAGCAGGAAATAAATTTCAGGCTTATCATCACTACTGGGTTCCAGCTGCAGAACAGAATCGCGTGCGTACAACTGGTCGCTACAGCCATAGTGCAAAGCAGCGCACGCACCCTCTGGTATTCCTCGGCCCTCCATGTCCTCCCCAGGGAAGCCATTCAAGTACCTGGCTATGTATGAGCCCGTTGAATGCCTGTTGATAACGTGAGGCGATGCTGAAGGCTTGTTCCGAAGGACGACACCCGCTATGCTACCTGTGTTAGAAGATTTTTGCTTGCTGGCAGCCTCCTGCCTCTCCTTGGCACGGCTGGCTATATTTCGCACTCTGCTCTGGCTTCTGGATGAGAGTTTTCTGACCAGTGCCTTTGGGCAGTCTTCATCAATCTGCCTGGAGTACAGCATTTCACGGCTGTCCTCCTGGTCCAGGGACACCAGCTTCCTCAGCTGTTCCGTCAGGGCATCTGTAGAATGTGGTCTCATATTCTTCATAGCAGCAAGTTTCTTGTCTCTCATGCCTGATGAGATAAAGCTCCTACTTATGTATTGATACTTACTTTCAAAATTGCAGGAAATATCCTCTGATGTCAAGTCACCGAGACTCTTGGATTTGCAAGGACTAGTCTGCTTGATGGCTGAATGAGGTGGGAAAGCCAAAGCATTTTTGAGCACCGGTGAGTGTATGTTGAGCTGGGATCTCTCAGAGGCACACATTACATTTTTCTGCTTATCTGAATGATGATTATACAAAAAGCCAACATTTTCACACATTGGAAAAGGAAGCTGACTCCCTGCAGTCCTGAAGTTATCTGAGCAGTCCAGCGCAGCAGCACAGAGCTCAACAGTTGCGCTGTTCCCAGAGGTCCTCTCACCACCATGCCCAGTGTCCTGCTTTTGCCTCAATTTCAAAGGGGAAGCCAACTGGCTCATGTCTTCCCTTTTGTACTCACATGCAGTTACCAAGAGATCTTGAGAATCCCCATGTACTTCTACAAGACTGCTGCTTTCTGAATTTTCACCAGTGAGGGGGTCCACAAGTGTCTCCTCAAAGATGAGGCTATTGGAAGCAAAAGAACTGGCAGACTCAGGGGCTTCCCAGCTTGTTCCAGATTTTGTTCCACATCTGCTTTTGGGATTTGCATTTAGCAAAGAGAAAGGTGAAGGACAAGGAAAGCTAGGCAAGTTAGTTTCTGTACTATTTAACTTTTTCTTGCAAATTAATTCACTGTGGGTCTTACATTCAAAAGCTGGTGTAAGAGTTGCCTCATGGATAATTGTGTACACAGAATACTCTGCAGTCTCAGGGCTGGAGAATATGGTAGTATCTGGAGTTGAGAATAAAGGGGATTTGATGGATTTTGTGGTAGTAAAGTTGTGCTTACAGGGACTGTTAAGATCCGCAGTAAGCATGTGTGGATGTGTAGCTATCATACTGAAGGTCTGGCTGCTAGTGCCATGGAGGTTGGAGACCACAGTAAGATTAGTTTGGTCATCTGTGACATCAAACTGTCCGATCAGAGCCGAGACAGCGCTATCCATCTCGCTCTCATTTGCTAAAGAAACTTCATCTATAAGGCGAGAAATGTCACTGTCCTGCATGATTAAAGTGGAGTGCAAATCAGGAGCATCAGAGCAACTGGTAGAAGAAATACCCGTCAAAGAAAGAGATACTGCCGTGCTTTTCTTGATGATGTCATATTTGTGATTTTCCATCTCTACTTTTTGAGAAAGGGAAGTCCCCACAAGAGTTATTTTCTCCTCCTTAGATCCTTTTGTGTCATCTTCCTTTTTATTGTCTGCACAGTTTTTGTCATGTGTTTTTTCTGCAGAAAGTTCAAAATCAGAGTCCTGCATTAGAGGGACAGTTCCATCAGAAAGATTATTTTCCTGATAGTCTATGAGGTGATTTGTTTCAGCTACACCACTTGCAAAAAGTAAATTTTCAGGTTGCTCCTGTAGAGGTGGTACTAAAGAGTCAACTGTAGTCTCCTTCTGGTCATTCTCCTTAAACTGAGATGCCAAATTTGAAGTATTTGCTGTTTTCTCAGAAGATGGAAAGACAGATTCTTTCAAGTTTGTTTCCTTCTCATTTGTATTGTCATCACTGTTGGCTAAATTAAATAAGAAACATGTTAGTTGCATAGAGTATTGTGAACTGTTTATTAACAACTATTTTGTCCTTAGACAGACAAATGGAGAACGCAAAATCAGGTACAGTTGTGACAGAACTTAATTATGGGGTTGTGCAGGTTTAGTACAAATTATCTGAGTGATATGAGTAAATGGAAAAATACAACTGCAGGCACTTCATTGAAATTTCCTTTGAATGTCTATTACATCAAGCACGTGATGTAATATTTGTTGCAAATAATGTTAATGAGGTACCATATCATAGCTTGCACATGGTATTACCTTCAGCTGTGTTCCTATTCAGATTTGTACTATAAAGAAGCATGGCAATAAAGACAGAACAAAACAGCTCTGTTAAAAAACATAATACTTTGAAACAAGATGCATGCTTAAAAGAGCTGAGTAAAAAGCGTCAAGTAGATGGACTCCAGACTCTTTTATACATGTAATTGTAAAGTGTTACAATTTAAGGATTTCATTTTTGATCTTCTACCAGCACACTGCATTCATGAGAGCAAGATTTTGAATTCCTTGAAAAATATGCATTAGATATTTTCTCCACCAAATCTTCTTACTTGTCTTTATATGCCAAATCCGAGCTCTACGACTCACTTCTAATTAAGCAAGGACTACAGAAGTAAGCTTGGCATAATATATACTGTTTCTAACACATGCTAGAAATCAGGTACCCTAGGAAGAAACAAGAGAAGCCCTGATCATTCATTAACAGTGACTAAACACCCTTGATGGAGTAAGAAGTGTTTCTAATGAACATGCCATTAAATGCTGATCTCCAAACTCTGAAAAGTTCCCCAAGCTTTCCAGTGCTCCTAGATAAGGATGGAAGATCTTCGATTTGTAGATTTTTTTTTTCTATAAAGAACAGAGGAGAAAATGGACAGTGTAATTGGCATAATTCCAACTGAGGCAGTAGAGATATATTCAGCCATAGTATTTTAGCAATAAAGATCTCTGTTGGATGGCCAGCCCTTTCCATTCTTCATGGCATCCAGCAATAATGAACACTTCATCTGACTAGTACCTCCCCGAGGGTGAAGCCACCTCCCAGTCTGAAATATTTGGGCTGAACTTACTTCCTGTGAATACCCTAGCCTATTCCTGTATGTGTACAAGGCTGCGTTGTACCTTTTCTCACCACGATTCAAGGTAAGTGCTTCCACAAAAAAAAGGCCCCAGGTTGCTTTTCTCTATGTCCACCACTGAGCCATGGATGGTCCTGCAGCACACAGAAGGGAAAAGGTCCCTCAAGGACAGGAGAGGACTCTCTGGAATGTCATCTTCTTCATGTCTCATTTCTTTATGTCTAAGGTGGGCAGTCCTACTCCATAGGGGTTACAGAGCAAGCCTTACAGAGACTCTAATGGACAGGATCTAGTCTTCTGATAGTTAGATGGGGCAAGATTCATTCCCTGTGACAGCTTTTTAGGTCATCTCACCAAGGCCTGTGTTTTCCGCAAAGGTTACTTTGCTATAAGTGAATACCTGTGATGTCCAAAAAGCATGGGAGTTTCTTCTAAAAGAATTTTGTGTCTTTGTAGCATCTTTAGGAAGAAATATCAAAGAAATTATTACATCTGTTGCAAAGAATGGCTGAGCTGTATCATCTTCCCAGGCTTATCAAGAGGATCTTTCAATTTAAAATACAGCATTTCAGAGTTAACTTCCTTTACTAGGAATATCCTTTTTCCTATCTACAGTTTCTTCTCAGGGTAGTAGAAAAAGAATGGGTTTAATTTTGCTTGCTGTTTCTCCTAAGTAACTTCTTTTACAAGATGATGTGCATGTTATCTGTTCCTTCAAAACCACTAATATGGGCAAGTAGAGCAAAGGTGGCTTAACAACATGTTCTTATCTGTGCCCAGCAAGTTCTCCTATTTTAGGGTGGCTCCTGCGGCTGCTGGAAGCCACTGCTCCATAGCTGTAAATATTCAGAGCAGAGCAGCATTTCTGTCACACACCCCCCACTGCCCCCCAGCCAAGAGAAGTTTTCAGTGCGTTCTCTGCATCTTGCCAAGGAAGACAAACGGTGCTTCTGGCTGTCCTGCGCCAGCCAAGGAAGAGCCCTTGTGGGGCTAACTGCAGAAATGCTGTGCTGTCAGAACTGACCAGAAGCTGAGGATCTGGCTAGCCCTACAGCCTCATGGGGAGGAGCCATGAGTGCACATGGTCCTCCCAAACAAAACAAAACAAAAAACTGGCCCCAAAAAGCAGTATAGATGCCCTAGACTAGGGACAAGCTCAGGGTCAAGACAGCAGGTCTAATGAATTACAGCCATTGTATTCAAAGCTTCCTAGACTTCTTTAAATATTCCAGTAAATCAAATATTAGGTAGGTCGAACACACTAACTTTGCTGTAGTCATGGGAAAACTGGATTTCAAAACCAGGACTATTATTGCTGAATACACTTAGAAAAAAAGCTGTTTCAAGAACTAAATTGTATTGTGTATCAATAATACAAGAGCAAGATTTTTTCCTAACATATGCTTTCCATGCAAATTAATCAAATTAAGTAACCTAGGTTAAAAGGAGAATATCAAGACTGTTGGATACAAAGTTTAACCTACTTTTACCCCTTTTACATCTATTTGAAAGTCTGCATTAGTCTTTACACACACTATTTCCAAAACCATATCCCTGCATGCTTTTCTTCCTCCTTGAAAATGGGGACAGAAAACCCACCATGCCAGCAGCTCTGTTTCTGTAAGTAAAGGGACAGTAGCAAACCAGAAATTGATGAAGCGTAATTGAAGGTTGGTTCTTAAATTATGAAATTTGGCAAGTATCCTTTTAAGAGCACTTCCAGAAATTATTGTAATTCATTTGCCTAGTTTGGAGAGTAGACAGCTTTCCAGAGTTTCACTAATCAAAGAGTTTAAGGAGCTGTTAAAATACTACAATCTTAAGCATACGTCATTTTGCCCAGTAACTCTTACTTCAGTTGAACAAAACTACTTGCATAGGGACTGCAGAACTGAGTCTTTTAATGGGCTCTTTCAACTTACTACATCAAAAGTAATTTTGGAAGCATCTTACCAGATGTATTTTCTTTTCCTTGGGCATCTTGGGCAGTTTCATCTTCTGGGCATGGCAGTCCTGCAAGGAGATATTTGTCCACGGGCATAGACGCAGGACGTGCTTGCAAACTCCGGCTTGTACGCCTTACAACTCCTTCTCTGTCTTTCAAGTCTACTGGTTCAGATGCACTGTCTTTAATTTCAGTAGCTTCCAGAAAACCCATCTTACTTTTCTTTCTACCTTTTGCTGGTGCACTGGCTGTGCGCCGAAGAATTCGATCACCAATAGATCGCTTCCGTACATAGTGCCCGCTGGTTTCAGCAGAATTATGCTTAGGGTTCTTGTTAAACAACCCTCTGAGTCCTATCAGCTGCTTATTCTGAAAGGAAAAAGAATAACCACAGTTTCGAGTGAGTTCAGACTATTATATAATGAGTACAATGAAAAGGGCTGCTTTCAGAGTATTTATGAATGATGAAGACAAAGTTAAAAACGCAGCAAAGCAAAAATTCACACCAAGCAACTCACATCTACTCTGACCAAAGAACCATCAGCATAGGTCTCCATGAATTCATGCATGTCTGTATTTCTCCTCATTAGGATGGCAGCCTGCCACAATTACAAGAGAAGTTTGCTCAAAGTCTCCTAATCAGAGATGACAAGACTGTAAGAAGTGTACTGCAGTGACAGACTACACATTAACTTGGAGTTTTATGCATGGGCTTCATCAAAGCAATATTCAAATGTTTCAGAGTCTGAATGAAGAATGATGTAAGTTTGGTAGTTGCAAATCATGCAATTAGGAACCATTTGAAAAGTCTGTGCCCAGCAAGTGCAAAGTGCATGCTAATGAAGTCTACCTTTGTGGCTCCTAGAAAGTGCAATATTGTGTAACTGGGATTGAGGATTAAAGGGCTCCACTGAAAGGCAAAAAAATGCAAATACATTTGGCTAATGTTTTCAAGACTGTGATACAAGCAAATAAGGTAATAGTACATCAGCTGTAAATATAACACCTCTACAGCAAATAATTTAAAACTATTTATTAGTCTAATGTCAGTCTCTCTCAAACTTGTCCAGATATCCTCACTTATAAGGATACAAATGTGCATTCAGCCTTTGTTTATACATTAGAAACATTAATATAGCCCGTCATTAAGGCAAGCGTTAGATGAATAGACTAAGTAATAGAGATCAAGTCTCAACGGGTCTTCCCCCCTCTTCTCTTGTCTTCCCTATGAAGCTACTCTTTACTATTTTTCTTGAGTATATTTCTTCTTTGAAGAGCACATGAGCCAAGAGCAATAGCCAAACAGGCTCCCCTACAGACTATCACCAAAACTGTATGTGATTTCACACATATACCCAGATGCGTACAGATCTAGGTATACATTGCAGATGCACTCCAAGCTGTTTACTACTGCTTTTCTTTTTACATTGACTTAGGAGTAACAAAGTCTACCTTGAATACTACAAGCTTTTCTTTGTGCACAGAACATGTGTGGGTCTGGTACGGTCAGTGCTGTTCCCTCCGCTGCCTTGCTGCTGTCCTCCCAGGTGGGAGGAACACTTGCAGAGGCAAGAGCAGGTGAGTACATTGAAACTCTGGTCTCTTCACTGAGACAAGGATGTCGAGAGTAAGATAGATATCTAAGTGATTTACAGAGCCATCATTAGATCATTCAGTGATCTACTAGGATCAGTGAAGACAAAGGTAGTGGAGTTAAGTGAGGATCTGGACTATACCAAATCTCAGCCCCTAGGCCTTGCCTATGTTATTTTCTATCTCTGTTCCACTGAGCTTTCCTTGGGTGCTCGCAGAACTGTGGTTTTACATATTTGACATGACATTCTCTGCGTCCACTCTCAGAAGGGAGAAAGACAGGGCTAACTTCTTTTCAACCTACACCCTTCATAAAGGTGGGGGTGTTTTGTGGGGTTTTTTTGTGTGTTTGTTTTGCCTTTTTTTAAATCGCTACAAAGGGTTATTTTATTTTAGCATCCTGTTGAATATGGCCTTTATTTCTTTGTGCTAGTTATCTCCAATGACGTCTTGTAAATGGTTCACGAAGACAGCTGAAGCAGAAATGCAGAGAAAAAGCACTGTGCTTATACCTTCATTTAAAAAAATGTTTTAAAATTAGTAAACTTGCAGAAAAACAAAATGTATGCACTAAAACCTAAAAGATTTAAAGCTTAAATTAGCTGCTAAAAATAGCTTGTCAAATACCATGTTCTGGAGCAGTTACAGTTCTCAAGATTTACTTCTAAAATAAAATTAGTTTAAACATATTGAAGAAATGTACTTACTGTATCTAGATGTGATAATTATTAGGTGCTAACAGTAAGAACATTCGTAAGGACATGCACACTAAGACTAGAGTAACAGTATGTTATGCTTTCCTTGCTGATCACCTGCAAGGAACCACCCCACACATGCCATAAGCTACATCCCTCTGCTTCCTGAGCACTCTAACAGAAGCATGTCTGTGCTGTTACTGGGGTATCTCAGCTGGAGAGAGCCAAGTGTTTTACTGGACATGGGTGTGCTGTGAATGGGTGTCCTGGCTCAGTGCTCCTCAGAGAAAACACTATGAATAAGGAATTGTGTTTTGCTTCCTTGAACATGCTGATGCTTAGCAGTGTATGTAGATACCTATACAGATACAAATATAAATGAAGACATGAAGTTGAGGGCAATAGAGAATCAGATATTGTGCTTTTTCACTGCTGCATGATCTGAATCATTTGTTTAAACTTTATTACTGATCAGAGCCAGAGCAAGCTAGGCACTGCTAATCCAGTGTACAAAACACCACAAAACTAAGATGTAAGAATCATTTAGAAACCAGATAAATCCTGTGAGGTTCTGTGGTATGTTTAAATCCATTCTTATTAGAAGAATGAAAAAAAAAAAGTCATAGAAGATGTATTTTTCCAGATATACCTACCTTTCCATAGATCTCATTAATGGTTATATGAACAAATATGGATGCTTCTGTCAGTCCTTCTAAATACACATGACGATAACCTAGTAAAACAAAAGTATTACACCACAAATACTCAACAGTTTGCATTTTATGCACAACTGGCAATAACTGTCTATAAAAGTGAAATATATACAGGAAGCCACCTTATGCCTTTAGTAAAACTTATGTTCTCACAGGTTTTCCAAGCCTCCCCAGTACAAATTGCCTCAAAGTTATATAAAAGACACCAGTAGTAATTTCAAAAAGCACAGACACCCAAACTCCTTCAAGTAACAGTGAATATACTACCCTAAGATATCAGGGTAATTGTCCAAGCTCATACATGAAGTCTCAGAGACATAAACACAGATCTTATGCTGATAACCTCACCTTAAACTTTAAGTTCAAAGGTGTTTGCTTTTCGGCTAGATTTCTAAGTTAAGGAAAACAAGTAGGACTAACCAGGCACAAGACTGCTAAAGGCCAGAGTTCTTTGTCCAACAAAGTCTCGTCCAATAGGATCATGGTCCCAAACAAGAAATCGCACCAAAGCTATTTCAGGCATGTGGATGGTAAAAGTGAGTGTTTCCTCCCAAACAGGATTAAACCCTGTAAAATAAACAGAACAAATTTTGGAAAACAAGTCCATAAGCAAGCGCCAGCCTCAATTTTCATGATGCATAGCAAGAGGCATAAGAAACAAGCAGACCAAATACACAGATGAAAACCCATTACTTATTGCTCATCTCAATCTAGGCACTCTCAATCTCCATTATGTAAGTAATTAAAAGTGAGAGATTTGTCTCTTGGACTGCTTTTACAAACAAAATGGTTCTGGTTGCGCAGCTGGCAAGGATACCAAGGCAAGTTGTTGTTTTGCAGAACTATAGTAGGCTAAAGATAGACCAAAACAAACAGGAACTACCTTTTTTCCCCATGGTTTTGCAACTGCCTATGAGAACTGATGGCCACCTCTCCTCCTGCAACAGGATATCCCACTCTGTTATTCATCTCCTTCCCATGAAGGCTGAGGTGGCAGTGAAATTGCCTAGGACATGATTTGTTTTCATTACATTTAAAGTTATACGTGTATTTTATATACATTTAAAAAAAATATATGTATTTGGAACTTCTGCATAAGGGAAATTTAAGAACAATCTAGGAGAAAGATACTGTGGTAAACAGTTCTTTTCCTTCACCTCTAGCTTGTCTGTCTCCCCACACCAGAAATTCTGTCTAGAAAGCAGAATTAATTTGTTAAAATACAATCATTTGATTTCATTAGATAAGAAGCTTTGCAATTTAGAAAGTAATAACATATACTGAATCATTTATAATTACTTAATATTTTACTCTAAGAAGAGGAAATCAGCTAGATTATCTTACCATTGTCGTCAACCACCCTGGTCTGATCTTTACAGCAGTCAACAGGTAACCCAATAATTTCCACCTCAACAAAGGGATCTATTATCTATTTTTTGAAAACAAAGTATTTTAAAAGCAAGCCAATGATACAAGTGAAGGTCAATTTTTAAGAAAATTCATGCAGAGAGTTAATTTAAATTCATATGAGAATTCAAAAAACTTTGATTCGTGTGAATTTTCAAGGAGTACAATCATAGAAAATGGCTTCATGAAGTAGAAATCGATGTAAATCAGTGTATGGTTTGTAGTCTCAAGAGCTATGGCCAGCTATGACTAATTTTCAAAAAAATGAAGTCACCCTCAAAATACAAAACAAATCAGTACTTAAACATCATGTGTAGGATACAGACTCTGTGGGAAAATGTATTATTTATTGACCAAGAGCTTGACAATATCTGAAATTTACTGCTGTATTTAAAAAAGGAGAAAGTTATTTGAGTCACATGCTGCCATGTCACTCCAGGACCTGTCATGGAAGCATTTGTTGGTATCAGAGTATCTTACCTCTCCTCTGTCTCCTAACATTGAGTCAGGAGGCTTAGGTAGCTGCTGTCCACTGATGATTTTCAGAATAAGCTGCTTTTTAGGACTGGCAGGAAGTGGATCAGCAGCGTAGGGATTGAATGTGCCTAAAGATGGCAAGGAATGAGAAGCATAAGGAAAGAGACACACAGAATAAATATCGCCTCCCCCAGATGCGTACATACAGCCAAAACTCGGTCATAAGCAAGTAACAGAGTATGGAGCAGCTTTTCATTAATTTTAGAATTCCATTCCACTTTCTTACAACATTTTCTTACCTGAGCAGCCCTTGTTTATATGATTACAAGACTGAAAGGACCCCTCTAGTAGTAGGGTTTTGCAAGAACCATTTGGGAAAAAACAAAACAAAACAAAACCAAAAGAACCTTTCTTCTGTAAAGTAGTAGCTTCAAAAAACCCAACAGTTATAACCCAGATCAGCACACTGATCATGTTTCTTGCACAGCTGCCCAGATGATAATGAGAACAAGCAGCTAGGGTTAAGCTGCTTCCTGCAGCAGCAGTGCCTGCTTCAAGTACCCACGCTTCCTCTACCATTTCTCAAGTACCTTTCAATCAATGCCACTGCTTCTTATGGCCATATTAAGAAAATTACTTAGAAATATAGGGGCACAATCAGATCCCAAATCCTCAAAGCATGGAATGATTGTCATTGCATAACACTGAAAACCATGGTTCCTGTTCTAACAGCATTTTGAGGACTGAACCAAATCCTTTTAAAGGGAACAAAATAATTCCACTGACTTGCTTGAGAGCTGGACCAAGTCCTGGATACTTGGTCCTGAACCACTGCATATCTTTTCCTACTTTCTTGCAGTTGGCTGTCCTAGTACCCCTTCTTTCTTTAAAGGCATATTAATAAGATGGAGGCCTCAAAAATATATCTATAACAACAGCAAGAGATTGCATACTAGTACTTACACAGTCTAAGCGTTATGAATGTATGGAAATATGAAAGATTCTATATATATTCTTACTTCCCTTTCTTGTGTCTTCACAACTTCACTATGAAAATGCTTTCTAAAAGGCTTGACACTGAAAATAATAAGTGTATAGTGGCACATTACCTTTGCACATCTGCTGAGGTTTGAGGACATAACCACAGTTGCCGTTTACCCTAAATTTTGCTTCATTTAATTGCATCACACGTCCCTCAGTCTGGTAGTTTAGTGCCACTGTTGAAAAACAAAAGTCAGTTGTCATTGATAAAGATAATATTTACTTAGCACATACTCAAGAACTGGGAAGTAAGTTTGTCCTGCAACACCTACCTAACTGGCAACCAACATTCCAGTAAGGTAAAGGATTGAAATTGCTGGAGTCAATCCGATAGGCTGACGGATAGACCCTTGTAAGCTGTTTCTGGTTGTAAAGCATAAACTGTTCGGCCTTCTGCTGCACAGCTTGGTGGGCTCTTGTTTCACTGAATGATAGCACGTTCCCTGTTGATCCTGTGTGTATTGTTAAATCAATAAACAAGTCATAAAGCAATCCCAAGAGATGGGGGCCTGAACTCAGACCTCAGTTACACTGGTATTAATCAAGGGGAACATGAGATTTAGTCCAAAGTTACAACGATAGGTTGTCTTGTCATATGCAAATCAAGTACATCGCATAACTGAAAGGCACCAGTTTCTCCTTCCAGGAGGGTCTTTTGTTCCACCCCCAAGTTTCCAGACTTAAAAGGAAAGCCAAGTGAGAGTTCCAGCTAATTGCTAGGGCCTTTTCTCCTGCAGAACCCCAGACACGACTGCTACAAAGAATCTATAGAGAAATCTACTAATGGCAGTGTGATCAAAACTATCTTACTGAAGAGCTTACAGCCAGGGGAAAGAAGTGCCCAGCAGGGCTCTGATTTCACTCTTGTGCTTGTAACACATTAATAGCAGCACTCAACCCATTCGTCTCTCCTACAAGTTCCTGCAAACTCATCCTTTCTCTAAATAATCCAACTAATCCTTTCCAGTTCATAAGTCTTCCCTCTGAGCTTTTATCCTGTTAGGCAGATCCCCTTTGATCAGTCCTCTGGGAGAAAGACTGACCAGAAGACTTTCCTAGGTGAGAGCACCCAACTTCAAGGGAGCAGTTAGACCAACTCAACTGTACCACCCCACCATGCCCATCTCTTCAGCTAGGGCCAGGAAAGCACAAGATCTAGATGAAAGGCAGCAGCAGTACTGTGCTCTGATGAGCAGGCCCTCCTTTCCAGAGGACCATGAGCCATCAGATGGGTTCAGCAGTACCACCTAACTGCACCTGGACCTGCGGAAAAAGCTGAGCTGTCTCTCAGATCAGAACAATAAGACTGAAACTCTGCAAGACTATGTTTTTGTAGGATTTCTTGGACTCTGTTTCTCCACAGTGCTTTCATCCTCCTTAACTTCTCTCCTATGAAATTAGAATTAATTGTATAGCAATTAAAGAATTTCATACACAGTTTTTTCACATACAGTTGGTGACCTTTCCCACAAATTCCTCTGCAACTTTCTCAATTTCCATTTTGCCTCTAACATTTTTAGTGTAACAACTGCATGCTTTCTGAACAGGGATCACATCTATTTGTCACAATTCAAAACTATCACATTACCAAATGCTACTTAAAATTCATAAAGTTAAAAGATGATGACAAATTCTATAAAACTGTGAAAACAGGAAAGGGTTCTCCTGAAAAAGCCTCATTTTAAAAACTGCTACTAAAACATGAATGTCATAAAGCAAGCAAAAGGATATTTCCTAGGGAAGGAAAAGGTGGTGCTTTACTCTTTCTCCATAGTTAAGTAAAAGGAACAGGTAACTAACTACTCTACTTTTAAAACATCTTTGGATAACAACAGAAACCTTGAGAACACAGACATGTTCCCTATCCAAACAGAAAAGTGAAAAAGGCATGTGTAAGTCTTGTGCCAGCAGCCTTACCGTCATCTACTATATCCTGGGCTGCCACAGAGTTCGTGTACACCACTAGGTCAGACAGAGCTCGGCACAGCTTCACCGTTTTTCTTCGACGAGCTAGTCTGCTGAGTTATATTTAATGTATAAAAGAAATTGGGAATCTTTCAGTATTTAAAGCATATTTCAATCCCCCTTCCTGTTCTTTTCATCAATAAGGAAACAAACAACCATGAACAGGGAATCACATGTGGCAAACCTCCTTAGAGAGTGCTTCGAGATGACTGTTCCCCTTGTACCTCTATAGTCACACTACACAAACAAAATTTTTCATTTAAAACATAATGAAATAACTGCACCATGACTCTTGTCAACGAAAACAAGGCAGACAGCTTTGACCTGTGTCTGAAAATGGAGCATTTCAGTGACAACAAATGCATTCCCAATGGCACTTTTTTGATTGCTTTTTCTTTACATTCTCAAATGTAATAAAGTTGGCTGGGCTGTGATGTACCCTTATTTAGCCTAAACAGTTTTCTTTGAGCACTTAGTACAGCATACAGAATGTAGATTGGCATTTTTCCATTAGAAGAGTATTACTATCACACTTTTTTCAGTTTAAGGGTAATTGCTATTTGCAACCTATGAAAACCTACGCAATCAAAATACCAGGCTACAGCAGTCACAACAAAATATACCCCAACAGCAGTGTCATAAATGACCTGCTCTCAAGAACATACTTCCCTGAGGCAATGACATATAAATATTGATAGTAGTAAACATGCCTCTAGCTTTAACTGAGCTGTAAAACTCTGGTGATTCATAGCTCACCTGTGGAGCTGCCCCATTTCCTTCCCAGAAGAGTTTTGCTGGCCTTCTTCCTCATCTGATGCACTATGGTATTTGGATGCTGCCTTTACAGCTTTCTGTTGGGAAAGAATCAAGTACAGCTGTGTCAGTTTATGGGGTTGTTCTATAAATTCACATTACTGTAATTAATGTCAGGTGGGTGGGCAAGCAGCAGCAGGTTTACAGCACAGGACCAGTGTCCTACAAGGACACAGAATGACCCCTGGGGGTTTGACAGCAGAAAACCCTGGGTGGTACATCAAGTGTTTCCATACATGTAGAGAAGAAAAGCCAACACAAAGCATCTGTGCCCTGATCTCACTTTGTGCGACTACAAGGATCCAAGCCTGAAGACACGGAGCAGGTTTATCTACTGGCAAGCAAACAAATCCAAGACTGAAGAAAATTACTTCTGCAAACTGGCCAGTCCGTTGCAGGCCACTGCATATTCTGCAGCTTCCCTCCCCTGCTCCCTCCTGACATGAGAGGACAACATTGCTCCACTATTGCCAGTACACCGGGCACTGGTGCTGCTGAAATTCTGATGGATCGTATCATATTTAACAAACAGTAACACACAGTAGGATCTAAATGTACAGTGCATTGCTTCCACCTACACCTATGCTTCCCCCCCAGTTTAGAAAATTTAATGAATTCATTTGTGAAGTTGAGAACAGAGTCTGGGCAAAATCTTCAAATATCACCTCTCTGCTGCTTTTTGAGCCACACACACAAGCATTCAAGTTATTCTAAATTATTACAGGATACAGTAAAGAAAATAGCTATAATGAAAAGAGTAAAACCTCAAAAGCACCTTTTTTTCATAAGCACCTATTATTTAATAGTTTCCAATTTCAACATTACATCTTTTGTAACACTAACTATAGCTTCAAGTGAGTTTCTTTAATTCCCTTCTCATCGAGAGGCAATTAACAATATAACAGAGAGCTCCTTATCATTTTACTCATATGGCTAATTGAGCACAGATTTCTTTTCTCCTGCTGTGACACACCAATAATACACATAATTTAGTTTGCTGTATTTAGTGCTGAAATAAAGTTGACTACATTGGAAACCATTTGCATGGTTCAGTTTTGGAATCTGAAGGTCTGCACTGTGGCTGTTTCCTGCAGTTAACCTTGCAGGAATTGCCAGCCTGAGCATCTTTGTCCCTCCACTGGCAGTTTTTATAGAGTTTATACATGGATACATTTGGCACAAGAGCTGGCTGAAAACATCACAAGTCAATATCCCTGGGTGGATAATTCTGTACCTGCAAAAATATCAATAGTAACCATCCTTCCCAGGCATCCCTTTAGCTAGAAAGGCCTAAGGGGGAAGTTACTGGATGTCCCCATTGCCTCAATCTACAATACAATCATTACCAGAAACAGAAAAAAATTCTATATATACTCTGTTTTATTTCTTTCAGCAGAGATTAAATGAATGGGCATTCCTGCCTGCTATATTCATTAGGGTAACTAGTTGAAGTAATTACATTATTGATGTACTTTCCAGCCCTCAGTATAACCAGCAGTTTTTAGCAGCTGACTTTTTTCATCTGTGACATCTCATTCCACAGCATTTGTTTTCCCATCAGCGAGAACAGGTTACAATGTGAAGTGTCCACTATCATGCACAATAACAGGTACTTGCAGTTCTCAACGCATACTGAGTGAATAATACGCACTTAGCTAAAGCTGCTGAAAGAAATATGACTGCTTTTAAACTGATGCAAGCTTATAATCAAAATGTAAATATGAGTCCTGGTATTGTCTGCCTAGAGAATTTTTGATGGCTCCTAGCTGGCTTCAGGGCAGATGAGCCGGTGGCTGATTAAGTTCTATGAAGTATTTCGTAATTGCTGTTTTTCCTAAACTGCTGTTCAGATAACCAATTAGAGAGTGTGCTCCCTGCTCAGCTACAGCCTTCACCACAGATAGCGCTGAAGAAGAATGGATGTCTAGCAGGCTGGGGGCAGAGGAAGCCGCTGATGGCACAGTGACTCAGCTGCAGACCTGCCGCATCCCTCTCTCATGATAAGCCAATCTGTTGATTTACTTACTTCGTATCTGCTAATTGACTCTGGAGGAAGGAAGTTTCAGTTGAATCAGCTCATGCTGAGGCTACATGTTCAATAAATCCAAGCCTCGAGGCACTGTGGGAGTGTGGGAATAGGGGAGGCAGATGACAGGAACACATTTGTCAGGATATGGGAATGGGAGGAAACATAGGCGCACTGTCCCTTTTGGTGGCTGCTCTTTGTCCAGCTGTAAAATGAAACCTCACGCTCATTTGAATTATGTTAGCTCTTGCTTGGTTCAACAGAGCCGCCACAGTGAAGACCCAGCAAAGCAGACAGTTTGACCTAGCAGCTACACGAACATATAAATACTATATGCAAAACCATGAAAAGATCAGAAAAGAACACATTTTTACAAAGCAGAAGCCCAAAGCCAGTACTTAGTCATAGCAATCCCTTAAAGCAAGTGGAAAGACAGTAACAGCACACTCTGCATGGCACTGCAGTGGACCTCAAATCAAAAGTGGACCTCGAATCAAACAAACATTGTCAACCATAGGGACAGAGGTCTGGAAAACAAGAATACACAAAGGCATTTGTCTACATTGCTCTGCTGCTGCTGCAAGTTTGATCAGAACATCTGCAATTCCACATCACTGGTAAAGATGATCTTTTTGGTCAGGCAAGTTTTTTTCCTGAGTTTGTGTGATCATCTTCAACAGGTTCTCCATACTGCTAGAAGCTAATATTTTTCTTAACAGCAATAAATATACCAAGTGTAATCACATAGTCTTTCCTCACTGCCCCCATACACACCATACTTGTCTCAAGCAATAAAACATACCCAGTGTCCCTGGAATGCTGTCAGACCTAGAACAGCAAACCGAGTCTCTCATTTTACTTACTTTGTGTTTACCGAAGTTGCCCATTAATGATCGGCTATGAGACTTTTTTCCACCTTCTTTTGTGTCCAGGTTCTGTGCAGAGAAAGTGCAATAAAAAGTGTAACTAGATACCTTCAGAAGTATCTTTAAGGAGTCTGCTACAGTCTCTAAAAGACATAGTTTCAACATAATATAAGTTCTTGTATGTCACCCTGATTCACTATTAGAAAAGTACAGTGATTGCAAGTGAGAATAGAAGTGAGTTAGAGTCTAAACACAACATACTGATCTATGAACACAAATTGAAATCCAAAATCTCGTTACAGGACTTCTCTAATTTCTTTATATACTTGATAGTTTAGCAATCCTCTAACAGTAAGGAAAAATAACAGTAACACTCAAGACAACAACCAACCATGTAGAAAAAACAGTCTAGCAGAAACAGGCAAGCAACAACAACACTTGAAAGTGTGCTTTAAAAGAGCCACAAATGAAAAGGAGTAGGGGGAAATCTCCTAGCAGGTAAATGTGGACTTTTCATAGGCAGCCTGAAGTCCAAGTTTCACATTTATAGCCTTGCCCCTAGACATCAGTTTTGTAATTCCTGGCAGCATCTACCTTTTTTCTGTCAGAAAAGCACATCCCTTTATCTTCTAAACAGAAAAACAATAACCTAAAGGTGCTGAAGAATATTCCCCCAGTGTATCAGCAAGTCCTATGAACTCCAGTTATTCCCTGTTCAGTGCTGAGTTGGAATTCACTTCTGGCTATCACAATGATAAGGGTACTACATGGTTTCTTCAGGTCCAAGAAAGTCAATAACCCCTGTAACTACGTTCAAAGATTTGTTCCTAGCTCAGGCTGAAAGTCTCCGTAAAACAGAGAAGGAAACCTTAGCAGATAAAGTACTTTTCTCCCTCAGATAAGAGTGAGGGTTGACAGTTTCAACAGCAAATCCAAACTATTATCAGACCTAACTGACAGTACTGTACACATTGCCTTCCTCCCTCACCCTCCAAAAAACCTACTTGGTAATTACTGGAAATTAGTACATCAGCTTACATCATGAATGCTTCTTTTTTTTTTTTTTAAATAATAGTAAGTCTTTGGGAAAATGAAATGCACATCAGTAACAAAGTAAAGGAAAATGAGATTTGACCAGTAAAAAAGTAGAAAAATTTCCCAACAGATCCCTTTTGGGCACATCTACACAGCAACTACTAGAAAAGAGCTTTACAACACCACCAAACCTGGCTAATGAGTTACAGAATTACCACACCATCACAACATTTAACCATTTAGTTTTCTCCCATCTAGGTCAATAGTTGCTACAAATTAATCTGCCAGTTGTTTTAACTTATTACTACTAATTTTTCAGCTCTGCATTGCTTTAAGACCTTTGAAAACAACAGTCACATACAATCAGTCTTCACACGGGACTGTTGCAACAAGGGAAGAGATCTCTAAATGTCCCTTAATAATTTAAAATAAGTCAATTAGAAAATTCTATCACTTCAATATTATTATCTGACAGATGTTTGAATAATGCACTTGCATTACTGAATTATTTTCAGTATTCTGGTCATGTCAATGACATGTAATGGGTAATCTCAGGCACCATATCCAACACCAACACCTCATGGAAATTTGCATTCTTTAAACAAAACTCCCTACCCTCTCAAATGCTATCTAGGGGCCAATCATTTTCCTCATACCGGAGAACATACCAAATGTAATTATTCTAACACGAAATAGTATTGAAATGGCTCATATCTGATCATAGTTACTAAGATAGGACGTTTGGTCTCTGAAATCCCACTTCTCTGACCTCATGAAGGCCAAAGGGAACAGGCAAGCTCACTCTGTTCTTGCACTGCAAAGTCACAAGTCTGAAAATAACCCTTCTCTGTTGGGTCAGATGGCTTCATCCTTTGCATTCTTGCAGCCTCTTCCCACCACAACACAGCTTTCACAAGATGTCTCAAGCATTAGCACAAGCCGAGTATGTTTTCTGTAGTCAAGCCTGGCTTCAGGAAAAAGTCTTATAGGTCCAGCCTCAGAGAAAGAGATTGACAAGAACTGCATAAACCCTACAGAGTGGGAAGATGTGCAGAAAGCAGAGCTACATACACTTGACCTTTAAGACTATACCGGTTACAGAGTAGGCACATCTCCCCCAGAACAAGTCACTCTGTATTTAACATTACTGGGATTTGCATCCAGTTGAGGTGAAAGCATGGTCACCGTGGATTCAAGGTACTATTTCCTGATGTATTCAGATTTCCAATACGTTTTACCGTTTTACAAAAATAGTTTTATGTCAAAAGGGAAAAGAAACATACCGTTCTTGATCTAAAACAGTCTGAAAAAACAGTCACGAAAAAACAGAACCTTGCTTAGGGCAGTAAAAGCACAATCCTGTGTTTTAGTGCTGTACAAAACAGCCATCAACATTACAGGCAGATGCTTACAGTTATCACAGCCAGTTTTGATAGGACTAAGGCAACAGAAAAAGGATCTTTCCCCAATAACCTAGATACAAAGGAAATTGCTTGACACACGCTTGCAATATTGGTATTTACTGAATTAGTCGCTTCCAAGTTTCACAAGGAATAAACCAGAACACATTTAAACAACATTTGACCATTCAAATTTGCTTAGATATTTTCCTAAAATAGTTCCAAGTTTTAATTTTCGATAAAACAAACTCTCAGAAGTTGTTCATAAGTTATCAGCTTTCTCATCTGAAAAATGTGCAATACACATGGCACTGTCTAATATTCAACAGAGCATGCAAAGGGGAAAAACCCACATACCTGCTTCAGGTTAACATTTAACCCCTCATGAGTTGCCTTTAGCAGGGCTCTCACAGTGAAGCTGTCAGGATCTTCTTTGTCCCTGATCTGGGATTCTTTTATCAGAGATTCCAGTTTTGTTCTTATAAAAGATTCCACCTGGTGCTCAGTTGCACCATTATTCTGAAAGACATTTAGAAATCCAGTTAAAGTAGATTATTATGTCCATCACTTCTGGGACAGCCTGAGGGAACATTACACACGCTTCAGGCCACACAGCCGTCCCAACATTTCCTTTCTCTGTGCAAGAAAAAGCTTATTCCATAATCCTGCCTGATTTTGCCTTTTCTATTGGTGGCTTTTACTGCCATTTCCATCTTCCTTTTTCCCTTTAGTCCTCCTGACACAACTTACACTGCCTCAGCAAAGCACAGTCCATCACATAGATCACCCCAGAACCTGGCCCTGGTGTTAGCTCTTTGTTTCAAAACTGTCACAAGTCTGACCTTCTCTTTCAGAAGATGGCATGAATTCTCAGCTAATACACTTACACACTTCCTCCAAAATACCAGACAACCTAAGCATCATTAGATTCCTGCTCCGAATGGTAAAAAAAGAGGAAGCAATTACTGTTAACAGCAGTCATATGGTCTATACAGACACAAATCAGTTTCTTACATAAGGTGCTTAAAATAAAAATGGATCCTATCGAACAGTGTGCACCTAGCATTCCTCTGTCCATGGGGTGCGAGACCTCTCCTGAGACAGGAGAGGAAAGCAACTGTTCTGTCCTAACATGTTCCATTTCTAGCCCCAAAAGACATCCCGTGGTTTGTTTTGGCTTTAAGGATTGCCAAATTTTGTCTTAGGTCTTTCTGTTAAGAAAGCATCATCTCATCAGAAGTGCCCAAGCCATGTTATTAAAGTATACATGGATTACACAGACTGCTCCTATTGAACAGCACGTGACAATGAATCAGGTATTATATTGGTTTCAGAACTGTTTGAACAATCTTATCTCATCTTACTATACCCATAATTAGAGTTATGTTCATTCAATATATACTTTTTCCCTGAACTTAAACCTGCAGAATTTTGTACCTGTACTTAAAACCAAGCATATTCCTAAAAATTTATGGGATCGGGAGTCTTCAAGCTACCTCATAAATTAATACCAAGTATTTCCACTTCTGTAGTAAATACTAACAGAAATATAACTTTAAGTCATTCAGCAAGTTGATTTTATCCTATGCTTCAAGCATTTACTGCAAGGCTCTACTTCTGCATGAGACTGTCTTGTGGAACATATGGGTTGAATGACATCCAAGTGCAATCTAACCTCTAAATAATTAAGAAATTAATTAATCATGATTTTGTCCAATAGCATAAAGGGGGGTTGTTTATCTAAGGGGCATGTGCATGCATGTCAAATCAGCCCTTCTGCATGGCGTACATGAATCCCCCAAAAGATGTTGCTGACACTAGCACTTCAGCAGCATCAGGGTAGGGGAAGAACCAGCATAAACATATACTTCCTCTGAACCAGTTCGGTTGGGGACTTCTGTTACCTATAAAGCAAATCCCAAGCTATTCTGAAAAACCCTCAATTGCTAATAGCAGGCATAAATACAGACAAGTTAAAACCCGCTATGTAAATATGTAAACCAAAACCCGCTAATGAGACCTATAGATAGCTACTTCCATGGGGCAATGAGGCAAACTCACTGAGCTACATTCAAAAGTAGAGATAAACATTAGACTTGCTAAATATTAATTTGAATTTGATCTATTCTTTCTGCATCTCCCTAGATAGTATTTTCTTTGTTCAAATGTTTTAACTGGTGAAGCAAGGCTGCCTCCACACTAGAAAAAACACACCCACTGGATAATGTGTATTAGCATTGCACACCAGTTTCACTTTGCAGCAAAAGTGTGTTAATAAAATTAACAGCAGAAAAATAAAAAAAGGAGTTAAGAAATAAAAGGAACAGAAAGCAGTCTTCAGCATCAAAAAATAAGAAACAGAAGGATTGAAAATAAAAATGTTTCACACTTCAAATTTTTTTCATTTGTATGTCTCCTTTCATAATTTTCATCTAGCAATTATGTAGCAATCCCATCATGCCATTGCTTTGAGTACTACACATTTATATCCGAAAAAAACCCCACAAACCCCCAAACAAAAAGGCTAGCATGCTTATAGTGCTGGCATCATCAGTCTAGTGTACCTAAAGTACTTAAATTTGTTATTTATATGATTTAAAACACAAAGTGTGCATTTCCAAACAATGTCATTCCATATCTAAATGTGGAATTATATAACTTCTGTATCTTAAGGACCTGACTTAGAAATCAAAGTTAAAAACTTTAAGTAGGATTATGGAGTATCCATGTAAGAAATGTAGAGATCTAAGTGTTCCGGGAACTGTGTATATGCACATACATAGCAGGGCTTTAATTTGCAGTCGTCTTCAATTTCATCAGCACTATCCTCATCTGAAACTTCTCCTTCCTCAGCATCTGCTCCAAGACTGTATGGCAACTTTTTACCCTAAAACGAGGAAGAAATATTCACAATAAATGCACACGTGGTCAGTGTTATTTAGTGCAAAGACCAAAAATAGCCCATTCCTTAAGTATTCCTTATGTAAATTGTGACCAGAGTTTAGAATTTGTTTTCAGAGAGTCTCATGCAAACTGGTTCAAGGACTCAGATTATCACAGGTGATAATTTAAGTATTTCTGGAAGAGTTTGTTAGTGAAAGATCTTTGCAAGCTCTTTCAAAAAAAACATACCACCTCCCATCTCTGAAGCAAGCCAGCAAGTGTCCAAAAGATTTTTTTTTAATTTTTTTTTTTTTTAAGTTGACTCTTGGATATTTCAGGCCTACCCCTACCAAGCAGACTATTGTATATTTAAAATAAAACCCTAAAAATCAGAAGCTGAGATTTTGTTATAGGCTCTTCATCAGAATCGAAAATGCAGCCACAAAAGAACTCACTGCAAGCAGCCATCAACATGAAGGAAGCAGCAAAGCCTATTTTAGTATTGCACGCTCATGCAAGAATGCAGTCAGCAATCCAAATTAGTTGCTAATCCAGTACTGTGAATGTCATATGCCTACATTAGAAAGGAATTACTTTAATTCCATGTCTAGTTTCCAACATCTGATTAGAGTAGTGAGCATCACAGAGGTTATTGGCTACTTCTGGTTAAAAAAAAAAAAAAAAAAGGCTCTGACAGATTAATTATAATTTTTAGAGCATTCCTTTTTAATTCTCCTGTACGATCAGTTATAGCGAAGCCCAATCACAGAACCTTAAAAATGTTAGCTGTGAGATCTCTGAAGGTCTCTGGACCAACTTCACACTAAAGGAGGATCATTACCAGCTCTAGATGAAGCCAAGTCTTACAAACTTTCAAGGGTGGAGACTCCCCCAGCCTTCTGGGCAGCCTCTTTCCATGCTGCACTACCATCAGCTGAAAAAGCTTTTCCTGCCATCCAGTCTGCACCTTCCAAGCTATAACTTGTGGCCATTGCCTCTTGCTTTACCATCTGCTACATAATAAGTCACCTATTAAACTTCTGTGTTATTACTTCTGTGTGTCTTTCTCACTGCAGAAATGTTCGCAGTCTGCTTCATCAGTAACAGAGGTAGATGAGAATTACACTCAGATTTCTGCAGAAATTAAGAGTATTAATTTACAGACTGCATTTTGAAATTAATAATGTTGCCCTGCTAATGAGTAGGTCAAATTTACTTCACACTGGCACCTTTATACTGGTTTAAATCCGTGAGTATTATTAGAATTACTCTTTATATACACTAGCAAGATGAAAATTATGCCATTACTTGAAATTGTTTGGCTAATGAATCAATACTGCCTTTCAAAGGAAAATGTATAAAACAGAGCAAAAATAATAGCAAAAAGATGAGAAACTGGCTTACTTGTCAAGAAGATGCTAATTCCTAAATATGATTTTATCTTTTCCAACAGGGCTGGTTAAATTAAGCAGGACATGGGAGACAGGCCTTTGTGAAAAGATACTGTGATACTTAAAATAGTATTACTCAATCTGAAAATGTTAGCTCAGCTCCACACCATTCTGTAACTACTCACAGGGTTTCAGCACTGTTAGCTGAAGAATCAAACAAAAGTTACAAACTCAAACGTGCTAGGAAGACCAGCTCAAAAGTTTACGTAAGAACAGCAGAGTACCAAATCTCTCTTGCCTTTAGTACATTGACATAGTATTTCAAGCCAGGTTTGCTGGGTTTTGTCGCATGACTGACATTACATACTATTTTGTTTGACTCCCTAAAACACCAACAGTACATGCTTGCATAGTTCATTAACTAGCAGTTACACAAGAAAACTGATTCAGTGAAATTCAAAGTCACAGCTGAGCACTCAAAGGTTTTCTAATTCAGTCAGCTCTGTACTATACATTGAAATATGTTCAAATTAATATCAAACCACAATTGGGAATCCTTGTAGCCAGCTTGATACAGAGGATGGGGGGTGGGGGGAAAGAATATCTCAAGAGCTCACAGCTAAGTAATTGCCCCTATGTGCCAAAGTAAATAAGACAATCTAATAAGCTACAACTCTGTTAATCATCCTCTCAAAGTTCTGCCTTGCATTTCTTTCTTACTATATCCATCTTGGTCTTTGAAATTCCTTTCAGAGCAAAGCCGTTTATACTGAGAGGCCCAAACAATTAATCTTGCATACAACACTAACTTCAGTGCTCCAGGGCCTCCTCCCTTGCTGCTCCTTATAGCCACCTTCTGAAGTGCTCTTATTTCATAAACACAGCTGATGAACCATGAAAATAGTTTCATTTCATGAACTACTGCTCATAGCAGGGTGAGGGGGAAATGCAGGAAAATGCAAGAAATTTTCAAACGCTTTTATATTACTCCAAAATACTTTGTCCAAGGAGGCACTGTAGGATAATGTTTAGATACTACAGGGATATGAACCGCACAGAACAATATCCACTAATAACAAATTAGACAAATTTCAAAAAAAGAGAAAATATGCGGTTCAGGTAACTATGTCACAGTTCTTTCTACTCATAATGATGCATTTTATCATTTTTCTGCTCTCCTGACTCGGTGCTAAGGTTTAAAAATAAGCACCTCTGACTTTAAGACTCTCAGATAAGATGCTTAAGAAATAGAAAGAATTTTCCTCCCACAGCTGTTGACATCACATCCCTGTTGAAACACTCAGGGAAATATTCTGGGACACTCACCAAGTCCACGGTAAACTCTGTTTCAATGTCTCTGAAAAGCTCAGAATTTTAAGTCACTTAGTGCATCTGTACTATTCCACATGGTCCTGCTGAACTTGTTCCCCCCAAACCAAAGAAAATCTATGATAAATATCGCATGCTGACTTCTGTTGCATTTTGAACATGCCACCAGTAGCAAGTTACCTTCACTAGGATTTTCCCTTTCAAATTTTGAGGGCTAGGAAGCTGCCTGGAATCTCCAGTGATTACAGATGACAAGTCCAGTTTGTCACCAAATATCTCCTTCAAACACTGAGCAATCTTCTTTTGCTGTTGAATACTGCAATGGTTTTCAATAGACAGTATCACTGGAAACCTAGGAACAAAAGCCCCAGACATTGTCATAACTGTGTTTTAAGAGAGAAGACACACACACAGCTTCCCACATAAACTGGTTTAAGCAGTTTGCTTTTGCATTGTCAGTAGTCTGGAAACAAACTCACTTTGGGAGGAAAGATTTTGCACATGAACTCCCAAGTGCCTGCTCTGTCAGAATCCCTTGGATAGTCCCTGTAGGAAATTCTGTCCTCTCCCTCCAACCCTACCCACTAGCACACAGGGTGACAAAGCTTGAAACTGATGATCACCAAGCATGAGACACATAGCAATTTGCAATAAAGCTCATCAGCAATACAATGCCTTTCTTTTCTATGTAACTGAGCAGAAGGTACATTATTCCTTTGCAAGTCACATACAAAGTCTTCATAAGCTGTAAGTGATCAGCAAGCTGCTCCTGTAGAAAAGCGTTTTGAAATCAACAGATTCAAAGGAATTGCAAACTCCTCTCTGTTCATCTTCCAAAGACCGATAGCTGCATGAACGATTTGCCTTTGTCTTAAGTGCAGCTACAGTGAGACAGACCAAATCTCTGAAGATGCCCAGACTCTGGAGAAGAAATATTTGGCAATACTTTCTAGAATCCTCTCCCAGGCTCCAGGAATTTGCAGCTTAAGTTTCCTGAGCTAAAGACATTGTTTCTGTATATAACAGCCTATTTCTTCCACATATTTGCCCATTTTTTCTAAACTCTTGGCAGTCCCAGAATCCTATGGCAAAGAACCCCACATGCCAACTACACACCAAATGAAGAATCATCTCCTTCAGTTTTGAAATCACCACCTTCTATTTCTAATCAATAACACCAAACTTTTGGGCTCAGATTCTTTGTTTGGTTTTGTTGGTTATTGTTTTTTTCCCCACACACCCATTGTTGGGTCACTTTTTTTGTTGTTTTTTTTTTTTTTTTAAAGTGGAGTAAGCATTTTCCCTTTATTCTCTCTAAACTACTCAAAATTCTATACACCCACTCATGATTTGAGCCTATTGTATATGTACGATTAAACTCCATGATTTTCATAATAAACTGTTACATAGTACTACAGCAAACAAAATAGAATCCAAAATTTACCCCACATCTCAGTATTTCCTCATACTACATATGAGACAGCTTTTCAATTTTCCTTAGGTAGAGAATATTACAGTATTGATTTTTAAGTAGAATTTCCCTGTGGATGTGAGTGGGAAGTTCTGTTCAAACAAAGGATCAAAATAATCTGTAGATATTCAACAGTTTCAGACTGTTCAAAATATTACTGTGTTTACAATGCATGCAAGGTCTTCCTAAATGAGGTTGAACTTTCTAACTCAACTGATGGAAAGAGCTCATGCAGTTGAACAATAAATATGACACAAGCAATAAACAGGGGAACAGAATCAACTTTGTAATTTCTCAATGTGTTTAAAGGAATGTATGTACTTCCCAAAGTTGATTGTTGATTTTGACATGGGATTAACTACACAAAAGAGACAGGCATAGCTTCAAAATTGACTCTACACTTACTCATTTTTGATGAAAGCATACTTATTGATAGTTTCTGCCACATCACGGAAGAGTATTTTAGAAGTAAGAGTATAGCCGTGGTGCACTACCGGCTCTCCATCTGGACCATCCCAGCAATCCACTATTAAGACAAAAAAAGCTGTATGTTAAGAGATGCACATGACCTTATACATTTCTGCTGATCCTCCTTGCCAGCAGAACTCATGTACACTACCCAACCATGCAGGTGTCAACAAGATTCATTCAATCTGTTATGACCTACCAACTGAGTTAAGACTAAGATGACAGTCTTTTCCTGTACCAAATAAGAAATCAGCAACCTAAAACTGTTTTTTTCCCCCTTATATTACACTGAGGTTTTTTTCCTCATATATAAAATTACAAAGGTTTATTAGGTCAAATAATGGTTACAGCTACCTCTTGGGAAAGCAGCTTCTGCTTGAAAGACAAACTATTTAAAAACAATTTAGTCTTTTTCCACTCCCAATTAAACTTGCAGTTTTATAACTGACTATAGTAAGAGTACCATCAAATCCATCACATGTAGAATGGACTAGGACAGCAATACTTTTCCTAATGAATTACTGTACCCTGGATTTACACCAAACTTGTCACTACTGTTGCCTCTACAGAAAGTTAAAAACTTCACAAAGAGAAAGATACAGAGCTATTACCTAGGCTGTACAGTATCTACAACAGTTTTGAGGTCAAGTGAAATAACATACTACTGTGCGTTCTAGTGAACTTTCCTAAAGAAGGGAAAGTACAGTGATAGATCACCCAATTTTCTCAGATTCACTTTCTCTAAGTTTTAAATTCAGATTAACAATTTTTTTCCAGAAATGAGTTTTGTAATACTAGTCATAAAAAATTAATATTGAATTTAAATTTGTCAAAGAAACTTCACCCAAAATCTTGAAAAGAAAAATACTGATGTTTTGTTACTCTTTCAATCATGCAGAACTTAAACAAGAATCCAATGCGATCTCCAGGCTATCAGACAAACAGCATCTTGTTTTCTTTCACCAGCATCCAGCCAATGAAATGTCATCCTACCTGTCTATTGTGGCAGACCAAAACCAGGTTTCTTAGCTCTAAGATGATGACAGAAATAGATACACAGCTGTGTTGATAGAGGCACTATTTGCTCACCTGTCCTCCTCCTACAGGCACTTTTTATCTTCCCTTTGCATCCACAGGAGGAACTGCATAGGCAAACACCCACTTTCCCTTTCAGCTTATGAAAGAAAAAGGTCTTTGCTGGCTCAGCTTATTCTGAACAATGTGGATTTGGAAGCACTCCTGTGAAGGGGTAACCTCCAGCACAGGGGAAATGCAGAGCAGAACAACCAGGGCTGCTCTGCTGGAACTGCAGGGCCCCAAACAGTTGCCTGCCCATTGCCCTGCTGGGTCTTGTGCAACAAAAGAAATGCTTCATACAAATGCGGGAGAATGAAAAACTTGCACTGACTGAGAAAAGCATAACACCACAGCAGTAGGCAGGGGAAAACAGTGGTGTCTATGATGTTTGTCTGAGAAGGCCATTCCCAACAGAAAAATTCTGTTTAGACTGCTAGAAGACAGGAGTTTACCACTGAAGTTAATCAGACAGTGAAGCATTAATGCTTTGAGTTTGCCACTGACTTTGTGATTAGAAGAAATATCCCTCATACTTCTCACAACCAGCAAGTTAAACTAAAAGTATACCTTCAATACATCGACAACCATCTTGCAGCACTCGTGCATACATCTCTGCTCTGGACTGGGACAGCAGTTGGTCTCCTGTCAAGTATGTATTGTGAGATGAAGCAATAAAGTAGTTACAAAGGGGCTGATCCATATCCTGATGCACTTCACAATGCAGTGGATTAAATATATCGCAAGCAGGACTGCGCATGAAGTTGGTGAAACCTTTGAACAAAGAGAAACAATTTTGCCACTGATGCAGTACATATTAGCAAGCAAATGATTTGCACTCTAACATTTGTTTTTTCTGTTTATGCTTGTCAGTGCTAACTCATGTCTCCAAAACCACTGAATCACGTAGCACTGATTGATCTTCCTGTACCCCATGTTTTCAGCATATTAACTGCTGTCTGTGGCTTGCCTGGTTCTTTGCAAACTGAAGAGGCTGCACAGACTCAGTCTACTACTGGCATACACACAGGTATTTCTTTTTGAAGCCTATGGAAGTTCTGACACCTTTGAAAAGAATACATTCCCAAGATCCAGCCCTTGTCCCCAGACAATTTTCAAACAGCTTTGAACTAGAAAAGCAAATATAATCTAGAAAGGCATTTATGACTGCCGCAAAAAAAAACAGAAAAATCAACAAGCATTTGCAAAACATGGCATTGAGGTCCCTTCAGAAATTAACAACCAATAGTAAAAAAATAAAGTAGTATTCTAAGAGAAGCATAAAAATAACAAGCAGTAGCTATATGAGAAGATTGAAAAAACCCACAGATCAGTACAGCCACTGCCCAACCTATTTCTAGGTCTGATGTTTCATTCAGAAAAGGGGTAGATGACAAAAATGCATATGTAAAAATTCTCTGAAACCATGGAGAACCTCCCTAGGTTCCAGTGCACAGACTAAGACAAGTGTGCTCAAACTGCCTTCTGCAGTTCAGACAAAACCACTCCACTAATAAGCAGAACAGAAGAAGTTGTTTATTGTTTCTCTTAGAATTGCTGGAGGAAAACATCCTTCCTCACAGTTACTCAGCAAGATAAAAATGATCTCTTCATCTAGATGCTACTGCAAACAGACAGCATGCAGCTAAACCATGAGTCATTACTGTTACAAAAACTGTCTTTTCCTCCTCCTCCTCAAACTGGTATCCCCTATCCCTCTTGATTCTTGTTAAAGCATCAGTATAACTGAGAAATTGGGTCAAGTGCTTAGGCGGCATCAGTCCGCATTTCCTGGGATGCTGAATTGTGCCTTGGAGGGCAAGTGACCTGCTTAGAGGAATACAGCTGGATAGGTGGAAGGGAGGGAACCTCAGCCTCACGTTCAGCAGGATGGAAAAGATTTGACATGTGCACCATGTTTCCCTCAATGGACCCTTGTAATTGTAACAGGTAAGAGTTATCCTGTTCTGCTCCATCACAAGTGTAACATCTTGTAAATAAGAGGAGGCAGAGGAAATCCCTCAAATCTGGGCTGCAGAAGAGATATAGGATATGATGCCTGCAAGAGTACAGGTTTGGTATTCTGCAGATCTGCTAGGACTTCATGCTGCTGTTGATGCCCAATGGGTCCCAAGCTGAGAAGTAATCTTCAGAAGGTAGCAACAGTGTCAAGAACAAAAGAACACACTCCTACCAAAGTTAAGAAAGATCTGACAGTTTATAGAGGTCACAGGACAGAAATGGGAGCCAAATTGACATCCTGACTTGGAAGCAAATGCCTTTTTTTTTTTTTTTTTTTGAGTTTATTGCTGACACTTACGCTCTGCCCCAGTGCCACTCTTTTGCTGTAATAAGCACTATCCTGACTGAAGATACCATGTAGACAAGGCATGCAAATATTTTATAATATCCTCCCAAAGGGCTGCACTGCAGCACAGAGAGTATGGGGGCCCATGCTAGCCGATTCACTAATCTAGCCAATTTCACTCTAGTTTACAGTTTTCTTTATGCTGCAAGTTTATCTGAGATGGTACTTGGTTTATATCCCTGTTAATCAGACCAGCATTGAACTGAAAAAGTTTTAAAAATACCTCCTATGAGAATGAGAAATGTAAAATATTTTGAAAGGATAGTGCAAACAATACGAACCCTGAAAGCAACTCAAAACATAAAAGAAGTGGCAGTAAGGTTAAGAGGAACAGAAATGCTTTCAGAAATATTTTTTTTTAAGTGTCATAACCTGTTCATTTTGCTTTCAGTTTAAGTCCAGCGCCCTGGGTCACAATGGAAGCTTGTTTAAGAACTGGGAGGCCATATCCAGGATTTAATTACCATGTGGAGGAAGATTTCTCCCCCCCAAATCACCATGTAAATTATGCTGCTTCATGAAAGCTATCTTCCAGGCAAATTAACACACCATGGCATTTAATCTATTTCGTTCCAATTCAGATTTTGATTTGATACTAAGTTGGATTCTGAATAAATATACCATTTACAATTGCTTTAGCAAACAAGGTGAATAAGGAATTAAAACCCAAAGAAAATGCAACTATCCATATTTTATTTTACCTAAGCATAAATCAATGGATTGTACAGGATCGATTCCACATCTACAGAGACAGAGCAGAAATAAAACTTTGCTTTTATTACTTCAGTTACAACAGGTTATAGTATAAAACACATGGGATAGAATGTTTTACATTAGTGTTTTACAAAGACACAGTTAGCAATAAATTCATGCAAGTGTAAGGCATTCACATTGCTGTATAATGGCTATGATGTATCATTGTATAACATTAGCTGCTAATTCACCCTACCTACTCTCGTCTCTCCCACGTCCCACAAAAATGCACCTACGCTACTGACTGCTGATCTTCTATTGGTTGGTAACTTTCTATTGCATTCAAATATTATAAGCTACACCAAAACACTGTTAAAGCTTTTCTATTCCACTACAGCATACCAAGACAAGACTAATTTAGAAGCCAAAAACTTTACCTTCAATCCCAAGAACATTTTGCTTCTTGTTTTCTTCTGATACTTCAAACTTCTGTATGATGTCAAGACAATACTCTGGTGTCACATTATTCATCTGCAGAAGAACAACACTTATTTTTAATACCATGTCACCAGCATGCCAAAATCTACTTTAGGCTTCTGGGTCCAGCTGAAAAACCTTACGATCAAACATTGAGTTCAGTCAAATATGAATAGGACAGTCAGCAACATCACTGTAAAAGAACTTTAAGATTTTGATTTGATTTTTGTTAGTGCTGCACAAGTCTCATAGCTCTTACCTTTGTGGAAAAAAATAGAAGTAAGAGGTAGCAATGACTAGAGCTGTGTCATTTTAGTTTAAAGATGAAAGTTAGCTGTTAAGCACACTCTAATAATCGTTGTACTGGGCAATACTGCTGAAATGGGAACTATGAAGTTATATTCTTTAATATGATCTACTTAAACATGCAAAAAGATTTGGCAGGGTTTGATTTCATTTTCACGCATTTTCCACTTCTGTGATTTCATTACTTCCAAGAGAGTTCACTATAATATGCTGGCTATGAGATAAATAATTAGATTCTGAAATGAAAAACAGCAGTTCTTCTGAAACAAGTAAGAGTTTTGTCATCAGCTTCAACTAGCCCACAATCGAAGTCCTAACTGACTAGTGGGGCCACAGTATCACCATACACTTATATTTCCATTAAAACTAAAGGAAAGAAGTAGCTTCCATCGCTCATCTCATCTTTTCTCACTCCCACCCTCCTGAAGTTGTAGAGAACCACAGTAAGACCTACAATTGGGTGTATTTAATTTCCTCCACTAATAATATTGTAGGATGACAATGATGACACTGAAACCTTTGGCAGCTTATTTGTACCATTATTCTGTTTACTGTTTGTACTCTGCATCCTTTGCCAAAGTCAGCTCAAATGCCCTGACATGTGGAGCAGTCTGGAAGCAAAGGAACATGCAGTCCCCTCTCTTAGACAGCACATAATCTCTGTTAACATGACTGCTTCCGTCAAAGGCAGGAGTAAAGTTAGTCATCATGCAGATTACACGATATTTACTGTTTAAATCCAAAAATGGTCCCTCTGAACTTTTCTCTTACTGAGGGACTTCTCTTTCAGATGGCAAAACCAATTCCATTTACTCTGCTCCGTCTTGTAGCCTTTGATGAATTTGCGCTTTCTGTTATTTCCTGTAGCTCAGTATTCCCAGCATCAGCATTTAGCTATATGGAAATCCAGAAGTAGGCTGACTCTCTTGATCTGGTCTGCCCTAAAGGCCTGATCCTGCCAAGTGCTGAGTTCCTCCTAAGAAATGTGGGTGCCTTGACTGACCATATCTCCTAACACCCAAAAGGCTACAGCCCAATTATGAAAAATTACCAGAGGAAGGTAAAAAACTAGACATGTCAACATTAGAAATATAGTAACAGACAGCAAGCGAGCAGTTCAACTCATATGGTGACTCAGGCTGAAAAACTTGGATATATTTTCCAGTCTTTCTCCCCTTCCCCCTGTTTTTAATCTTGCACAGGGAAAGCATGGCTCAGCCCACTTCCTTCTCCAAACATTTTATTTACATCTCCTAGCTAAGCCAACAATCATGAGACACCTGCAGGAATTACACAGGATAATAGGAAAGAGAACATTTCAGTAGAAAAGATAACTGGTTATCATAGCTCAAGTAGATGTTGCTGTTTGATTGCAAACACTATTCATAGCAGACCCTTCTTCAGCACAAGCTGGCTAGAATTAACTTTTTCATTATCCCACATGGCTCCTTGATGTCTGAGTGGCAGGGTACTTGTGTGCTCTAGGAACAAAAACGTCTAATCTAGTCTAAAGCTGCACCTGTGAGGGAAAAGTCCACTGATTTGTGCTTTTTAACTGCAGCTTGAGAGATAGCGACTTAGGATACTCATTTAAATTTGTCTTCATTAAGTTTTAAAGTATTCCACTAAAAATTATATCAAATAGTAGTGATCATTATTGATGACTGAATATTTAGATACATGGATTATTGAAGATGGTCAATAGTGGAGTTTCCAAAATCCCTTGGATACATGGCTACTTTTTCTATTCCTGGTTAAAAGCTTTAATTTTGATGCAGATATGTTCTTTAACAGAGCATCAGCCTTTCAATAACCAGCAAGACCTTGGTTTTTCAGTAAATGAACTACCAATCAATTTTCTTAAAATAAGATCCTACAAAACTACAAAAAAAGCAACATTATACCTAATCTTCTATGTAGAAGTATGAGAAAGAAGAGGGAAATCACTTTTGATTTTACCAATCTCATTGGAAGCAGGTCAGACGTACCTATTGCCAAAAATCTAATGCCATCTGAAGCTGCAGAGCACTGCAATGCTAGGTAATGGGAGAGCCCTCTTCTGTCAAAGGCCCACAAGCTAAGAATGGGACTCATTCTCATTTCCCATTCTCATGGGAAAGGAAATAAGAGAAAAGAATGTAAAGTAGAAGAGAATTTAGAAAAAAAAGGAAAAGAAGTTAGAAAAGAAGTACAATGCTAATAATAGGTGTTCTTAGACAGGACACCAACCCACCAGCATGTCAACAGTGCTCTAACAGTTTAGGCTTTAGTTGTTCACAGTCAATCATTCTATAAGAAAAATCAAAATATAAATAATCAAAGCAAAGACATTCTCCCAATTTCAGTACAAGATGTCAATGTAAGAGGTCATGACATACCGAGTCACCACATAAATCAGTTATACTGATTATCCTTTTGTGTAAGCGTGAGAGAGGGAGGAAGGCATCAGTTTGCTTTCCAATTGTGCATTTGTGTTGCTGCAATAAGGATTTTTTGTGGAAAGCAGAAAGGATTGATCAGGCATTATGATCTGGTATTGTCTTCCTTGTCTGATATTAACAAGCTCCACAGTCTCTCCTCTTTTCAAAGTCCATGTACCAACACTGATATTCTTACAATCTCCCATTCCTTTTGGGATACTGGTTTCTGATATCCTTCAGTACACACAGTTTCAGATCATAGCCTAACATATGCCCTTGCATATACTGTCTCATATCCCTTTAAAACTTCTTCCAAGAGAGTAGGTATAGCTGTTTCAAGACACTCATTTTCTAAAAGTGTACTTAGTCCCCACTTCTCACCACATCCCTAGTTATTCCTGTGATACAGTATAATTAGTGTAGACAATTAGTAAGAGTAAACTTACTCTCTCAATCAGGCTTAACTCAAAATGCACTAGCCCGTATTGAATAATTAAGGAAAAGCTTTACATAATTATATATGCATGTTCCGAGGGTGTAATTGTCATAAAATTACTTCCTTTTCAGTTCAATTACAATGAGCGGGGACATTAATTTTTGCCACCAGTTTCATTTAGGCTGCATACAGCAGCAGCTCTTTTAACCACAGAAGGTACTAGTTTGGTACCAATACAATGGTGTGGTATTAACATTTCCATCTGGTTCCTGTCACTCGGGAGTATGACAAGGCGCATCATACAACATGCATGCAGAGAACACTGCTGCAGGCAAGATCTCAGCGGGCTGTCCTTCTTCTCAGGACAGATGAAAACTGTATTGCAAAGTAACTGATCCATGATAAGGCAGCAGTGGCAAGCAGGCACATGGGAAACCTCACCCTGAGAAAACCAAAACTAAACATTTCAGGTTTGTAACACCAAAGCAGCCTTGTAACTACATGAAGCCACCAGCACAAGAGTCAAAAAGGTCTCTGCTATGACTAAAATAAAAACACTTGATGTGATATGGATACAGCAGAAAGGAGGAGGGAAGGACTGACAGCAATCAGATAACAGCCACAGGCCAGCTGACCCCCCCAGACACAGAGCAGCATCGCGATGGGGATCCCAACACCGGGGCGGAATGAGGCCATTCACTCTACAATGCAGGTCCGGAATGGCTAGCAACTGCAAAGCTGCTCTTTAACAGGGAAGATGATGTTTGTAAAGCCTATTTCACCTAAGCCCCACTACTCAATGACAAGTATCAGACAAACTCTGTCAGTCAAAAGAGCCTGGAGATCCTGCTGTGGAAGCAATGTCATATAGTGGGAAATCCTCCTCTGGAGAGGACCAACTCAGACAATGATATGAGTTTATTAAGAAAGGACACTCCCAAAGGGACAACACTGAGGCGTGCAGACATGATTGGATATCCAGGGACGTTCCTCCCTCACAGCCACTTGTGCCAAGAGGACTGCAGGACCAGAAGTCATTCCAGGAAACCAGCCTACTTTCTGCTCTTCTGACATTTGAAGCCATATAACTGCAAGTTCAATAGCAATGAGCTGAGTTTAACTGCACCTAAATGGAAATAATCTGTTTCACAGGTTCTGTGATGAACACAACAGGGAGCTCTCCTAAGAAAACAAGCCAGCTTAGCAAGTTAACAAAAAACCCAAACCCCTTTTGTTCTGTCCTCAGGCTGCAGAATATTTAAAAGTCTTGCCAAAAGAGTAGCAGATGGAGTTGGACAGACTCTCCACAGCTTTCCAAGCAGCCAGACAAGAACAAAACCGAAATGCTGTTTGGTTGAAGGCACTTGAGAGCTGCATTACGATTTGAACCATTATCAGCTTTTGAAGGCAATCTTGCCTTACCCGAGTACATTGTTACCATGTTTGTGTTCTAAAAACATTGAAGGGTAAATCTGCTCCAACACTGTTAATACTGGCAAGTGGGAAGACCAGAGGGAAGAGGCAAAGAAAGTGCAAGGTGCTTCTAAACTACACTGCTGAGAGGTTCATCTACAGGACATCACACTTTTACTCTTTTTAGTGTTTGTTTTTGGAATAATGTTGAGCAGACCATTTATAGCAGATAGCCCTGTCCGCATTCGGCATGTTGAGTAGTGTGTAGACAGAGAAAAGGATGCAGTATGCCAGACTTGACAGTCAACTTGTTTTTTCTGCTGCATCAGTAGTTTCATAATGTCTTTATGCACCCACAAAGACAGCTCTTCTGCCTCTTTCACATGTTTTTCTTCCTGCTCCAGGTCCCTGAGTGCCCTTTTCATACCACTGCTCTTCAGCTGTTTCTGGGCACTTCAGCATCTCCATGAACATGTCCTCCCCGGAGCATTTCTTTGCTTTCTCATCAGTGTCAACCTTGCTGTTGCTGCTGTCAAGGGTGCTCCACTGAAGGGCACCCAAGTAGAAGGCAGTGATTAAAAAGGAAACAAAGGAAAAAGCAGTGAGCTCAAAAAACTTAGGGCAATAGCATCAAGAGGAAAAAATAAAAACATTTTCTGCTTTAAAGTTGTAATTAGCAGAATTGCCAGGACCAGATTGCTTGAAGGAAACTGTGTGTTGAGGCTATCACAGCAAGATCAGTGATGTGATAGTGCTCCATGTTTCAAGGGGGATGAAGGAAGAACCAGTCATACATGCCAGGGAATTGCCACAGTGGCCAACAGGGGGGAAATCAGCAACAAAACAGCACAGACTGTTGATATTTTATGCTAAGGACAACTCAGAAAAAGCAGTCATCACAGGCAGGATCCCAGAATGGCAGAGGAGATTATTCAATGATTGCAGGCAAAACACAGCATCTATACCCGGAAAGCTGAAGTAGGTTGGGATGTTAGCATTTATTTTCATGCGGTTGTTTTGTAACAACACTCTACAAGGACACACAGGGTGACCAAACAATACAGGACCAATTGCCAGAAGCAAACAAGAGTCCTGGAGATCACAAGGTTCCTTCTGTGCTCCTCACTGTCCAGAGTACAAGTTCTCTCCCTGGGTTCCACAGACGATTTTTATAGTAATCCAGTCTCTTTCAAGATGGGCATGAGAATCTCCACTGGAGCAACATATATAGGAATGGCTAGAGATTTTTTTGTTCAGCAAGTTTATTCATACGCATGTTGGGGGAAAATCTCTCATGTTGACCCAGCTTTGCCTCTTGAGTTACTTATGCCTTTTTTTTTTTTTTTTTTAAATTCCCTATCAGTGTCTGTTTCTGTGGTTCCCTGAACCTCACTTCTGTCAATTGCTTCTCTCTGAGGAGCTTCAGATAGAAGTGGAACCTCCAGATGTGAAATTTTCTTTGCACAAGTCCCACACATCCATGAGAAATGCCTGGAAAACAGACTTTCTGAAGAAAAATCAGGGAAAGAAGGCAGAAGGGAAAAAGGATAGAATCCTGGACATCTCACCCTCGGCCAGGTTCGTACAATATCCACCTTTGTATTATATCACAAAAGTGTAATCTTCTCTTAAAATTTAATACAGATTTAGGCCGCATTTAAGAGGTTGTTCTTTGTCAATATTGAAACTCCTGCCTTAATAATAAAAGCAGCAGTCTTTATAATTACTACTACTACTACTGATACTTGGGAACTCCTGGGATATATGAGAGTATTGTAGGATTCAACTTTGCTTACAGGAAAGGATATGTGAACACAAAGATTCATCTTAACATGCTACCGCATTAAGTCATGCACAGGCAAACCATTTGTAGATAATCAGAAATAGTTTGCTGCTCTTGTCATGTGTTTCTAGCTTTAAAACATATCACATATCATCCTAATTTAGACTATATCTGCCAAGACCTTTAGGCATGAAAGGCATCTCCTGGAAATATAAACGTCCCCCCACAACACCAATAAACAATCCAGACAAGCTATGTAAAAGAAAGCAACCATGCTAAGACACATGATAATCAGCTGTAACTAAGAACTGTGAATGTTACCTGAATGCCATTATAAACAAACATTAACCATATTGCACTACACTTGCCTTTCCTCTACCACAGAGTACAAAAAAAGTTCAAACTCTTTTTAGAAGTATTTAAAAAACAGTAATGGCTTTAGATTTCTTTTTTGTTACAACATCTGTGCTTTACCCCTTGCCCCAAGCTAAACTTTTCCATAAAATTCTTTCCCCGTACTTGAATGTATTTACATGTACATATATACGGATGCATAATATTCCCATACCTTTTGTTCCACCTTTAGAAACTGAGCAAGTTCTTCAACAGTGAGGTGATCCTTTCTGTCACTGTAGCTTAAGAGCAGTAAGTAGAGATCTCGACGTAAAGACATCATCTTGTAAAACACTGAAAATTCTTCAAAATTTAGGGTTCCTTGGTTCTCATCTGTGTCTGCTTCCTAAGAGGTAAAGACACTCAGGTAAGCATGCTAAACACAGGTGAACTCAGGAAACAAAGTAGAACAAGATTTATGTACACGAACAGAAATTTAATAAATTCTAGTCTGCAAGACTCTGTTCAGACTCAAATCATAGTAAGCTAAAATAACTGCAAAATTATAAGACCGTCTACTGGATTTTTTGGCGAAAACAATTACTACACTAAAGCCACAGGTTCCCTATGAAAGTCTCAATTCCACCTTTAGCTTTGAATTTGTTTCCCCTGCAAGAAGGCTCACCCTGGGGTTTATTCTGATCTCTGTTACTCTCCTGTATGCCCTGCAGTTATCCTGGATTAAAACATAGCAAGGAACATAATAATGTCACCCCTTGGTGTCCCCTAACAACAGGGTCTGACATTTTAAACCACTCAGAACAATATCACAGTCTTAAATGTACATTAATTCAAACTGCAACACTTTCGGCCCCCCTGTCAGCCCTCTGTAGAGGGGACAAGTCTGCAGCAGCAGTAAGACTCCACACCAAAATACATGCCCAATAGCCCCAGTCTTAATGGCAGTTTTTGTTTATCCTCAGAGGTAGGAAGAAAAGAAAACAGTACTTAACGCATGTTAATACAAGCTTTTTACTGTGAACATCTGCCTAAGAGGATTGCTTTGGATTTTCAAAACAAAGAATGTATTCTGGAGAACTGCTGTCAAATATTATGTAGGTCTCCACAAAAAAACCAAACTTCAGGGAAGCTATAACTCTTTAAGTTTGAGGCTGTAAGCAGATAATGGAAACAAAATGAAATAAATGTTTAGAAATGTGCTATTGTTCCCATGAATAATGTCCTTCGTTCATAGCTGTATATAATGTTTTTTCTCTGTAGTTATAAACCCCCTTGGCATTCCCAAGTCACATTCTGTTAAAAATGGTGCTTCCTTCTGCCCAGGTCAGAACACTTTCTGCGCAGAGACCTTTTAACACTGACTTGGCTTTGAACCTGTTAGCTTGTCTCTACAGTGGTACACCAAATACAAGTTCTTCTCCAGATGGAGGGCATCTTCATCCTGCTATCACTACTTCCTTCTCAAGAAAGCTCTTCCAGTTGGTGCCCAACCTCACTTCTTCTATAGAAGAAGAGCTAGTCTAATAGCAGATGCAATGAACACATCTCTGACCTGCTTTGCTTTCCAAGGATCCAGTTTTACTTTCCCTTCACATAAACCACTCCACTTCAAAGCGTGTCTTAGAACAGGAACCCATCTTTACACCAGTGACTCCTAGTACATACACACAACTAAAGTAGCAGCCCCATACTCCATTCCCAGATGCAGGACCAGGACTGCTTCATAAACCTGGCCATCCCCATGGAGCCCCAGGTGCTCCTCCAGGCTGGGGGCTGCTCGTGCCTTGTCCATAGCTGTAATGCCAAGTCACACCAACAGTACCACCTGAGCAGATCAAGTCCAAGAACAGTGCCAAGTAGCTAGATATAGGAACAAGGATTTGTCCCAGAGTTACTTTGCCACTCTATTTATCCTGCATTAAGCAATGCCCAAAGCACTGCGCATGGGGTAAGGCCTTTAGGATTGAGCCCCAAAAGACTAACAGTAAACAAACCTTCAACACTGCTTCTATATTCAACCTTAACTTTAACCATGCCTGTGAGGTCTAGGATATTAACTCAGGTATAGGCTGGCAGCAACTGCAGCAAAATAAAAATAAATTAAGCAGCTTATTTTTAATCAAAAGTTGCCTCTGATTATACAAAGGCTGATGGTTGCTAGAGTGGCCTACTTCATTCCTAGACAGTTTAAAAGTGCAGGCAGAACTACATTTTTTTTTTCTTCTTGGTACATGGCTTCACAAGTCTCTGCCTCTCCTGCAGCAGCCAACTATCAGTGAAACCCAAAGACCTCAGGGAGCTGCATTTCATTACACCTCCTTAGTGCAACTGATATCTGAGCTACAAACTCAGATCACAGAAAGTAAGCCGAGAAGAAAATAATTCCCAGCTATCTGGTGTCAAATGGGATTATAAATCATTCTATATCTACTATATATCTTAAGTGACATTTATAATTTTTGGGAACAAATACAACCTGAACTCATCTCTGCAACACAACCCCACCAGTTTCCACACTTCTCAAGTCTTTGGGGAGTAACTTGATACTCCATAGATGTATCTCTAATGCGGATTTTATGTCAAACAAACAAAGCACTTTTGACCATAGAAGATTCTTCAAACTTTCCCATGTTTTATAGCAAACCAGCTTTTGGCTGGTACTGGTTTTGAAGAGTTAAGAAAATTTTATTTTGTTCTCCATTATGTCCTTGGCTTACCTTTCCTTTCCTACAGTAAACACTAGGGCTGGTGGAAAATGGTAACTGTTTTCAGGCAACAGAAGTAAAAAATTGATTCTGGCTAAGAGGAAGTTGTTAAAAAAAACCCCACCACTAATTACTTTCATAAAGCTAGTTTCTATTAAATAATTTTCCATAAAGGAAATGAAAAAGATTTCAATAGAAACAGAATAACTTAATTGTCCATCAATGCCAGCATACAACAATTCAGTTCAGAGATGAGCACAATAATGCATCTGAAAATATAATATTAATAAATTGTCTTCTATGTGGTTCATGTCATTAAAACAATGTCCTGATGCATCTTTGTCTACAAAAAGGTACGACTTGGAAAAAGTCTCTGAGGTGCTGGAAAGGACAGTGTTTTAAATCCCAACTTGCAGATTCTATTCTGGATCTGTCCAGAAATAGATCATAACTGGCACTATCTTACCACAACAACGCTGTGTGTTAGAAGCCACCAACCTGAAACATCTGCCGGACCTTCCTGCGGGGCAGGTTAACATTTAGTTTATGCATCAGCTGGTGGATCTCTTCAATATTCAGCAAGCCATCTCCATTCTTGTCAGCTTCCTCAAAGGTCTGTTTGACCCAGCTACAAATGTGTCAAGGAAAGGTTCAAGAGGGTGATTTCCTCACAGAGAAGGGAGGCAGAGCAGTTGGGCAGGTAAGGGACAAGACTGGAACTCAGGAGAACAAGACCTTGCCCCAGCTCTTCTGGGCAGGGGGATAACCCTCCTTAGCAGAGGACCTTAACATGTTCCAGGGAGAAGAAATGAGCATTATTCAATGCAGCATTCACAAACATGTCTTTTTCAAGTCAGCGCCTCTGGGCAAAACATTTGAATTAAGACTTCCCACAGCCTGCATTAGAGTTATTGGGGTACGCTGTGAAATAAAGTCACTTCTGGCAAAGATCTGGTGCTACCTACCTGGTTCTTCCCCATGCTGATGCCAAACCAAAGCATTTTTACTACTGTATACCGTCTGGTACGATTTGCTATTGTACCTCCTACCTGGTGCAATTAAGACTGTTGTATCTGAGGGCTACTGGTTTCATGACTGAACTCAAAGGAATCAAGCTCAATAACCATCTGTATTGGGGATGATGTTAATCTAGTGCAAGAGGATGGAATAAGGAAGACTCTGTGAAATCAGCCCAAGCACATTATTATCGGCCTGAGGTTTCCATAAGAACCTCATTAAAAATTAACCACTCTTGTTTTTCCATGCTCTCTCCTCCAAGACTGTCAAACAGTTCTTTCATCTGTATATTTTTAACTCTTCCATCTCTGGACAACTTCTGTGTCCACCACTTTCTCTCTGATATCTCTGCCCTCATTTTGTGCCACATCTTCCACAGGGCAGCAACAACTCCATAAAATTGTAAGTTGCACAGAGAAAATGGATAGTGCTCATACATTTGCTGTTTCTCCCCTCACAAGGACAAAATGGCATCAAATAAAGCTAGCAGCTGTGAGATTCAGAAAACAAGAGGTGATTCTTCACACAGGATATGGCTTGTCTCTAACATAACCTTTTGGGGGATGTTCTGCAGGTTTACATGGGTTTGAGGTGACACTGAACCAATTTCCCTCCCCTGTCCTTGCATTCATTCAAATGCTTAAAACCAGTACTGGTTTATAACAATTATTTACAGCTAGGTTCACAATACCAGCCCCTTTGCACTCTCATTTCTGCTACTAGCTTCTCCTCTGAGAACATACCCCAAGTTTTCAAATATTGACAGGCTTGCTCCGATATCTTCTTCTACTTCTCCCTTCATTCTTCTTGAACTTCTCCACTTTCTAACCGGTACCCTTTAGCCCCTCTTTGCACATATATCCCTCTGCAGCTTTTGCTAAGTTCTTACACTAGCTGGAACTGGTACAGGGTCATTTCATCTGCAGTCTCCCAGCTGCCATATTTGATAATACAAGACTTGAAGTGATGTTTCACCAGTAGAGAACATACAGCAGATATGTACACCTCAGAAAGCTCATGGATAAATACAGCAACTACGTGTGCAACAGAGCATGCAATTCATCCCCCAAATGGATCTGTGCCTATCTTGTCTCAGAATTAAACACTGAAAATATAAACTAAAAATACCTGAAGTATGTGTATTCTCCAGGAGGAGTATTTACAAGTGACCACTGTAGATTTCCATGTGGCAGAAGAAGGAGGTTACAATTTTTATCAAGATGGGCTTGGTTTGTTTGGTTTGGTTTAGGGGGAAGAGCATTGTTTGTATTTAACATACTAGTCAGCACTCTGGTGAAAGAAAGCACATCAAGAAAACATTCAACGGGCATGATCTTTACAAGAAGTTCATTTTGGTTACTAGGCTACAAGAAATATTTAAGGAGCTTTAAAGATTTATGCTCCTGACAATCAATGGAGACTGAGAAATACACACGGCTATCTGACACAGACCAACCAAGAGAAACAGAGATGGCCAAGAGTTACTAGTCAGTTTACTGAAAGACTCCCAAAAACATTAGGGTTTCACCTGTCCAGAGGCTAAAAAATTCAAGCTTTCAATTAGTAGTATCTGGAAAACAATGTCTAACAGACCTCGCAATTTGCAGCGGAAGAATAAAAGCACAGTTGGGCAAACAGAAGACGACAGAAGTCCTGAAATCACGCTGGGGTTAGTATTTATTGAGATAACTAGAAATGACTGTTTTGACCCTTCAATAAGAATTTCACTAACAAAATGCAAGACTATCCCCTGACTTTAGTGCAGTTTAATCCAGCCCCTAAGGCACAGCTGATGTTTTAATGCACAGATAAGTGTCCATGTCAGACCCATTACTCAAGTTTCCATTGCAATCAATGGCAAGGTTTTTGGTCACTTAACAGGAGGTAAAAGGACAGCCTATGCTGAATTCACTAAAAACCAAGCCAGAAATACTGAATCAGAAGCTGGATCTCAGGCTCATAAAAGGATACTGATCATGTGTTCTCTGTCGCTTAGCGAGTGAGTCTTCATCACTTATTCCAGCCATCAAATATTTCAGTCCTGTGATCCAGGTGCGAGCTTCCTCTGGGTTAGATGTAATCAGATCCAGTGACTCCATGTGGTTGCCGTGGTAAATGGTAAAGCAACAGCTTGGGTCAAAGTTCCCCTCTGCATGGCGGTGGAAGATTTCAGACTGCCGGCCTTCGGTGACTTTGTAAATGGAATCAATGACAACTATGGGGAAAAGGGAGAACAAAAGATGACATGCTTGGATATCCACCCAACCTCTTTCTGTTTTTAGCAATTCTGAATTATTCAGGCTAAGAGTCACTAAACTTTTTTTTAATATTACATCTTCACATCCAAAAGCGCTTTTTGATTTCTAGGTTTATCCTTGCTTTGGCTGTGCCACATGCACAGTACAGCTGCCTTGAAGGCAGGCCAATGCAGGTACAGGCAGGTTACAGCAAAGCTCTTTGAGTGCTCCCTGCTACATCAGAGGACTGTTGGCTGCTCAAAGGGGAGCACGAGGAGACAGATACCAAGTGTCTTGTATCAATCAGTGAAACATTGTGTAGCTCCAAAGGGACTGCTCCCACCACAGATGTGCCTTCTACACTAGGAAGGCAGGGAAACCCATTGCTGTGCTAGGGTAACAGGGCTCCCAATGCCATGGCACCTAACAGCTATGCTGTTCAACACAGCAGCTCTTAGCCACCACACACTGGCCCAAAAACATCAACTGTCACTGTCTATAGCTTTCCTAACCGCTTGTTTTTAACCTCAAGCCTCCGTGACAGCTCTGTGATTTTCTAGTCTGTATTTTATTCAATAAACCACTAATTTGAATTTCCAATTTCAAACAGTGCAGCAGGAACAGTTTCAATGAGAAATAATGCTACACAATAACTTCAAGATATAATAATGCCTAAAGAAAATTATCACAGTTAAGATTAAGAAACCTCAATCTAAACTTTTCTAGGTTCTGTATTTAGATTTTTGATATATACATTGAAAAGAGTTCAGCATAGTCTGTTTTCAAGTCCATCTTCAGTTTGCTCATAATTCATCTATATCTATGGAAAATGCTGACATCAAACTGAACTACACTCCCCTTCCTTTCATAATCCTGAACTTTTAGTAGGTGGTTAAACTCTACTCACACTCTTGAAAACCTTCATGTAAGTATCACATCACATTTTACATAAGCATCAGAAAGCATTTAATTGATCCCTCTGTAATGCATGTTCTAATACTGAACTGCCCCAGAAATTGAAAGAAATATTAGAAATTTACTTTTTGCCTTTTCACTTTTTCTGGATGGTCTCCATCGGATGCAGGTCCTGTGCTCATCCAGGTAGAAGAGACGAACTAGCCCTTTGGTTCCACTCTTCAGCTTAACCATCTGAGTCCCAGACTGCATAACACTCATGCATCTTTCAACTGTGAAGCAGAACAGAATAAATTCAACTAAATGGCCATCTAATTCCACTAATAAAATTACTTACTCACTTTCCAACATCTGCCAAGCATATAAAATTTTTGACTTGCACCTTTAATGATGGAAACTAGTCATTGCTGTGTGAGACATACTATTTCTTCTTCTTCACTACTAGCTTCCCCACATAGGAAAAAAAAAAAAAAATCATCTGTCAAAAAACCTTCACAAATGAGGCAAAGAAAACTTTACCATATATTGAAGGAAAATATATTATAGTTGTTCCATGCTTATCTCATTTAAATATTTTTATATTATTATACACAGTACTGTAATTTTAAACCCCAGCACTCCACAAATTTTGAATGGTGATATTATCATTCAAACTCTGTATTCCTTTGGGCTCAGTAATCCTTTAGCTTATATCTTGTGCTTTTGACACTGTTAGAACTGCTAACGTAATTATAAATACACAATCCCTCCTCCCTACCACACATATTTATACCCTCTCCATCCTGCTACCAAATTTCAAGCACATACTGTGATGACTTCCTTTTATCCACCCATCTGATCCAGGATGATAAGGCTTTGTTTCTCTATGTTTTTACCAAAATATACTGATCTCTTCCATTTCATCTCATATCTTTCCTCCTACAGTTTTCCAAACACTAGGATCAAGGATAACATTTCTTCTTGATCTCAGTATATGTCCATGCTCTTAAATTACCTTCTCCTGTTTTTATTCATTCACAGCCTCTGCTCACTTGATATCATTCCAAATTCACCTCCCAGGTGATTTGTTTACACTCTGGCTGGCTCCCAAATACTATCTGGGTGTCTCTTTATTTCTTCTTATCACCCTTCTTCTCTTCACCACTTCTCTGTTTACTACTCTTCTTGGTATCACAACAAAGACCAATACACCCTCCCACTCCTCTCTGGCAGAGCTAGGATTTATTGTCTCAGCTCCTGACACCTCCTTAGCTCCCACAGCAAGTGGCAGAAGTGGCACAAGCAGCAGTGGACTCAGTGCCAGCTGAAACCCCACAGTGCTCCCATACACCAAAGCACATTGTGGTGGCCCTGCTCAGTTTGTCTCCACAGCAGAAACATGGCCAGAACATCTTCCATCAGAGCATTACACTGCCCCGAGGCCATCAATGAAGGAGAACAAGCCTGCTGCTCCTTCCAAAGCACCTCTAGGTCAGATGCAGTCAGAGCAGCATCCTAAATATTCGACAAACACAGGACGAACAGCCATTGCCCCTGGACCAACTTCCCCAGCTCCCTTGCACAAAGGCCTTTTTGTTGGCAAGCCAAACTCCACATCAAATAACTGCATCAGAAGTGATGGTTTTGCTAAGGAGTTGTCTGTCTTGGAGGAATGAGAGGACTCGGGTTGAGCTGAACAGAACCAAACTCTTCTGAAAGCATCACAGATGTGCATGAGTGCAATAAATTTTTTGTTTATTATGTCCATAAATATATGGCCTTCCCCGAATCATCACACATACCAAATAAATAGGTGGGTTTGAAAGTCCTTTAAGATGAGCCAGAAAAGTGACATAAATCAAGCCAGAAATAGATGTTACACAGTATCCACAGGTCGACTGTGGCAGTTTTAACTTGTATCTATCTGAAGATGCACAAAGTACCAGGAAGACAAGCCTTTACACCGCAAGGGATGGAAAACTCAGAACCTTAAAGAAGAAAGATTAGCTGAAGCAAAAATAAATCTCTCAAACTTACTACATACGTACACACACACACACACACCTTCTGTTGGCAGACTGAGCCTTTCACTTTGGAACTGAGTTTAGATCAAGTTTGCCTTGGATTCATACCTAGCAAACAAACAAGAATTGTCCTCCAGCACAGAAATAAGGGTCTCCGTAAGAAAAGGTTGTACCAGTGTGTATGGATATGCAAGTTTGAACTGCTACATTAGCCTGGCATACAAACTGCATGCATGTTTTAATTTCACTACTAGACTGATCAATTGCAACAGGGTTTTAGCTCAGGAAGAGGTTAGCAACAAGCTACTCTGCACAGAAAATCTGCTTCTTTGCACTGAAGGCTATCAGTTATTAATAAAATTCTTACAAAAAATAACTAATTCTCACATAAGTCTTTCTATTATCATCAGCTCAGTTGTCACAGAAAAAAACCTGGTTCCACTAAGATGTTGTTGAGGGCAGCTAGCAAAAGGCAGAAGAAAGAGGACTACATTTCTTTAATGTAAGAAAAGCAGAAAATGGGCCACACTCAGATAATTACAGCCAACAAAACCACGTTGGGGAGGGTTGGGGGAGGAAGAGTCATAAAAGGCAATCCAGTTTCTTCTTCACCATTTCAATTGCCTAAACTTTTCTACATCACATTTGTAATTGTTACAGATGCCTTTCACATACACGTTTTTCAGACAGACTTCAGAATCAAAGTTATAAGGCATAGATTTTAAAAAACTTTTTTCACCAATAGAGGAGAGTAGAAGAAATCCAGTTCCTGCTAAATATCTCAACATTCTCCATTTCTCAAATGCCATCTGCAATAAGTCTAGTGCCCAAGTAAGCACAATCTTTTCTGCTTGCACTTTTCCAGTTCCAAGAAAATACCATCAGGATGCAAACATTTAGAGAAGAATTGTCAATGTGCAAGAGAGTTAACTGCATCATCCCTACTGTGTAGGTTTTAATAACAGAAAGAATCCACTTTAAAGAATGGACTACAGTAATAGAAATGCCACACCATTCATAGGCCCATTGAATTTCAACTCTGCAAACCATTTACAAAATACACCATCCTCCCCTTTAAGATATTTATAAAATATAAGCACACAAAGAAAAAAAGTCTTTTTAAAATCTATTCCTAATATGCTAATTTCAGTCTCTAGCCAGACATTCACAAGAGATAGACACCACACATTAGCATCTGAATAAGGTGAAGTTATTGAACAGAGGCAGTTCAGAATAAAGCTCCAGAAGAGCAATTCAAGAATGATTTCACTAAGGAATAGGAAAACCAGTTCCAGAAAAACATTTAATCCTCTAGATAAACCATGAATACTGAGTAAATGAAGCAGCTCCTCGATGCAGACATATATTAAAATCTGAGAAAACAAGACATGGTTTCCATTATATGGTATTTTTCTAACACAAGGACTAGCTGTGCATTTTTTGCTCGAAGTCTGAAAATGAATAAGGTAGAACTAGAATACAATGTAGTTTATGTGCTACAAGAATAAAGTTAATTAATCTGGAAATTCAAATAAAATATTATGCTTATGCATTGTATATTTAAAGCTTTTCTTTCAAATGAAAAAAATTTTGAAAACTACAGTCAATTCTATTCCCAGAGTTATGCAAACTTATTCTTGACAGTCCAAAATCATCCTAACAGACATCCTGTAGTTTAATGGGTTTTAATAATATTGAAATACCAGTCTATTTTTTTCCTCCCAAAATAACCATTTAAAGCACAACAGACCTCAATTCAAAGAGCATTTTTTAATTTTTAGTTCAAGCAATGATAATCATTCTCAGTAGTACAAACATCTCCTTTTCAGAAGGAGCTGCTTCTCTATTGAATGGTAAACCAGATACAAACCCATCTGTGCCAGCTGGACTTTTTCTGAAGTAGCCACACTCCCCAGCACATGGTAGACCTCTGAAGCGAGGAGGAAAGCCATCCAAGCCCCCAGTAAGTCCAGATGTGACTTGAAATCTTGCAAGTTAGGCAGATGCTATTTATTCTACCTGACAACACTGCTCCTCGCTGCTGAATAAATCAAGCTGCTGCCTGGGAACACTAAGCTGGAACTCTGACCACTAACCATACGCAGCCTTACGTTCAAAAAGCACTCTAATCCGCCCCAAATCAGCCAACAGTACCTTCCGTCCAGCTCTGCTCTAATCTATCCCCATGTGCAATCAGGTCTTTAATAACCAGGGAATAGCTTAGCACCACACCCTGTGAGAATCTCTCGCAAAAAGTTACAGCTCTATTCACAGGTTTAACAGCCATTTCCCTGTACGAGCCCTGTTTTTCAACAGTTTGCAATTAATTTGGTTTAATTCTCCACAGTCATTGTTATGACATGCACATCTGCATGCTGTTGTGCTTTACCACAAAGCACTTAAGGCATGTGGGACCCTTTAGTTGACAATAGAAAGAAAATATTTAGGGAATTAAAACATTATACCTAGCAGCACTTTCAGTAAAATAGAAATGCACTTTGATATACAGGGCACATCACAGCAGTGAAACACACATACACTCCCCATAAAGCATGTCCATCCAAGATTAAATAAATATGCTGGTCACTTCATAACTGGAACCAACAGGCAGGAACTGTGCAGGAGCAGCACCAGCACCCAAAGACACCAGCTGGGATGCTCAGTGCACACCAGCTGCCCCATTGCCCGCACATGACAGCCAGCACTGCACCAAGGTTTTCTGGGTTACCCCAACTCCTAAATGCTTTGTCTTGCTGTGCCCTCAGCCCTGATTAGCTTCCCCAACCCTTCATTTCAGTCATGTAACACTCAAAGTAAGCAGCAGCAAGAACAGGTTTGAGATTTTTTGCTGCTATATTTTGGGTTTTCATTACTAAAAAAATACTATTACCTAACAATTAGTAGCAAACTCTCTATGCCAAGAGTCTACAGCAAAATCTTCATAGAATACAGGTTTTGGGTGAACAGGGGTTTATTTCACTTTTTTTAGCCAGTTTCAGTGGTATTTCACTTTTAAAACATTCTTTTTTCCAAAATTGCATTCAAAGAACCATTACTTGCAAAGAGATGATGTTAACTATTTGAACAAAACAAAAAAAAAGCTCAAGGCCCCACTCATTTTACTCTGTGGGTCCTGTGCAGTAAATCAAATGCACATGCAAAGTTTAGTTGAAACTTCCATGCTTGTCCTAATTTTACTCACAGCAGCCTATTGCCATAGTGGCACGCAGCTCACCCTGAGCATAATCTCACCTGCGTTTCCATCAGCT